TGTGATCACAGCCACTCTGAGGTTACTTTGATGACTTCCTGAGTCACAGTTTGTGTCACTTATGTATGACCAGATTTTCCTGGAAACGTGCTTGTATCTGCTTGCTTCAGATTTTGCTATAATTGAAATCTGATTCTTTTGTAATTTCATGATGCAAGTCTCATTCCTAACGGTGGCAGTGGAACTCTGGTTGCTGGGTCCAGGCTGTGCTGTGACATGAGTCTGTGGCAGCTTTGTTCTTGGAGAGCTGAGAGTGTGTGGTCGTGAGCACTACCCCCAGGGTCTCTAAATCAGTTGTTTTGTGAGTTGTGAGCTGTGGCTGAGGGACTGTCTGACGGGTGTACCCCTCCTGAACTCCCCTAGGCCTTTTCCAGGCCTCAACTCGGGACGCTCATCTCCTGCCTCCTCCCTGCTGCCTTTCCTGCTACTTATAGCCTCTTCCTGCCAGCCTCACCCTGCTATAGCCTCCCCTCGCACAGACCTGTTGCCTACCAAGCCGGCCCCTCCCTGCAGGGGTCTCCTCCCTGGTCTCCTCCCAACATCCTCTCCCCCCCCCCACCACACATACACTATGTACCCTAGCATGGAGATGGAGGGGGAGAGAAGGAAAATGTCATTTGGCCATGCCTGACTGCCAAGTTTCTGCTATCTGCAAGGCTCATAACCTTAGGCAAAGGTGACTGTGCTGCACCTGCATTGTACGCAGTGTATATGTGCATTTCACATAATTGCATGTTTGCATGAGTGCACATGTCCACCTGCGTGCATGTCTGTGTTCCCCTGTGTCTCTGCACATGTGTGCCTATTTATACATGTGGAAACATGTTCATGCCTTGTGTGCATCTGTGTAATTATGTATACACATGTTTCAGCGTTCATGTCTATGTATACTTGTAGGCCTGAGTTCCTGCCTGTATACATGTGTTTCTGCATGTGTGTGCCTGCCTGTAGTGCGCTTGTCAAGTCTGTGTGCATTCCTGTGTTTGTATGTGAGACGAGTGTCTGCTTTGTATGGTGCTTTGCTTGCACCGTGTCTGGGGGCTGCATAGTTGATGCTGATCTGAGGTGGCATCTGTTCCACAGGCTGGCAGAACCATCATTGCTTGTTGCTGCTTGAGCTGACAGGAGGGAGGGAGTCATTGCCCCTTGACTGTTCCCCGGTGGGAAGAGATCAGCAGAGTTTTCCCACCAGAGACATCCACTGGTGTCCTGCTCTCTGACATGTGACTTTCTGGGTCACTGCAGGTGTGAGTCTGCCATGTCCCTCTTCGTAGTATCCCAGCATGGATCCCCAGCCCAAACACCTCTCCCCAGGTACCCTCTGTAAGTGACTCCAGAGCTTCTAGAGTGGCACACTTGGCCATCTCAGAGGACACTATCGAGCTCTGTGTCTTCTGGTCTGAGTGCATTAGTTGCTGCCACCATCTGTACCATTGCTGTGTCTGTGATTTAGGAGCCTCCAGCCCTGTCTGCTGGGTCCTGAGAGCACTGAGGGAGGGGACAAGCTGGGGGCCTGAAGGGAGAGGACTTGCTGGAACCCAGGTGACTGAGAAGGGCTCGCTGATCTGGGCAGGAGATACATATGCCTGTGACAGAAGGGAGCTTTCACTCAGTGCTTTCCTAGGTGCTCTGACACTTGGTGTTTCTGTATTCAGGTCATTTGAACCCCAGTATTCTGTAGATAAGATGTCTTTCTCAAAACAATCCCTGAACTCTTGCTTATGACTGAGAATTCCTGGAGAAAGCAAAGATATTCATTTGGTGGCAGGCCCCACAATTCCAGATATTGGGCACTATAGAATCAGGCATTTTCCCATGTCTGCAGCCATGCTTTGTGGAGCTCATAAATACATGCTCAAAGGTAAACCCCCAAACATAGGAAAGACCTATTGCCATGACAACAAGATATTTACAGTTTTGGCAGAAAATTCAGTAAGTAAAAAGTCAAGACATTAGACCAGATGAACTTGAGACACTTTGGGAAAACATCAGGATGGTGGAAGGAGCTTGTGTAAACACACAAAAAATAAAAAGGCCGGCGGTCAGGCCGTTTCCCCACTCAACGAAGGTCGATGGCGATGGTCAGGCGAAGGAAGGAAACGGGGGCCAGGCTGGTTGGTCTTAGCAGCAGTTTATTACATGGAAGAGATGTATGTCATGGAGGCCCCAGGATCTCTCAAGCACGTGCACCTTTGTTCTCTCAGCTTCTGTCCTCAGCTCCATCTTCCCAGGTTCTCTGATGCACGTGTCTCCCCACCCCCCAGAGCCCTGAAATCTCCCTTATATAGATCATAGTACCTCTAAAGGGCGCAATATAGTGATGTCATCAAAAGGAGTTACAGAAAGAACACTGAGGCAAAACACATTGTTTCTTTACATCCGCAGGCCAGTAATCCTGGCCTCACCTTTTTACAAGCTAAAAGCACTTAGATTAGTACAACAAAGACCAGTCTGCTAGAGCTTGGAATCTACATCTCCAAAATCAACCAGCCTGGAGCCAGGCATCTACATCCCAAAGACCAGGCCTGGCTTAGCACCTGGGATCTGTATACCTAAGGCCAGCTAGGTGCCTGTGAGATAAGAGAAACTACCTCAATATACTGAAATCATTTACTGAAGGCAGTTTGAAGGGGAGAAAGCAGTCTCATCCAAGCTAGTCAGGAAACACAGGAAAACTGCTTCTAGGACGTGTTTCTCCTCTCCTTGTCCAACCAACATATAAGCATACATAAAGGTAAAGGTAAAGGCCCTCCCGTTGATCATCGATTTGCTCGAGCGGGCCCAGTAACATCTTCATTGGAGACTTTGTTGTTACTGTGTCTGGCATATCGAATACTCTCGGTAGCTTGCCGAGCTCTCCGAGAGGGGCGGAGGAATCGAACTCGGGTTGGCCATGTTGGCTGCATGCAAGGCAAACGCCCTACCCGCTGTATTAATCATTTTGTGTGGACACAGTAAGAAATACTTTGAGCTTATAGAATTGCTCTCCTAGGGCCATCTCGATCTCAGACTGCAGTGCTCAGGCCAGATATCTTTCCTATTCCTAGCAGCAGGGCCCTAGTCTCGTCGTTACTTTTGGATCATGACATTTGCCTATGATCAACCTCTTAACTTATAGTTAAGAATCGTGGCACCTTGGCCTGGCCCATCGCGATGCCAGGATAGCACATAACTTACCAGCTTGCCCTGGTTCCATCCAGTCCCACGTCGGGACCCTGCCCTTGGGGTGCTAGGAAGTGAGGGCAACTGAGGCTTAAGTTGAGAAGGCAGATGCCCAGGAGTGAATAATATTCAAAGCCAATCAATTCCTAAGTTACCGAGCATATTTAATTAATTGTCTTCCTGTATTGTTGGGATCGGTAGTTCCCTAGCCCTGGGAGGCGCAGAGAGACCAGATAGACACAATTCCTGCAGGAGTAAAACCGGGGTTTATTTAGACCAGCATGCTGGGGCTCCACAGCATACCCCAAAGTGGGCAGTGGCTGAGAGCCCCGAGCTTCTTCAAAGGGGATCTTATATAGGCCTTCACTGGCCGGTACAGCAAGGCCCGCACATTTCATAGCCAATAGATTTGTAACAACGTATACTTTCTTAACCAATCCATTTAAAAGTACCTCACTCCTTAGCCTATAGATAAAGATCAGCATTATATAGATCAGCATTATAGATAAAGATCAGCATTATAGATAAAGATCAGCACAAGCAAGGTTATAGCCGGAATCATTAAGCCTTAGGTAATCTCCCTTGACCATCCACATTTTGAGTTACCAAAGTCTGCAGGGTGCTTTAGTGAGACAATACACTCCAGGAAAGGGCAATTTCCCCCAACCACCCGCATCCTGAGTTATCCTTTACCCAAATCTGCAGGGTGCTTTACTGAGACAATACATTTCAGGAACAGTAAATACACCTGAATCCTGTCACACTTGGTTTAGAAAGAAGTTATGCCCTGTTCACTTTCCAAGTCCCCTCTCCCCCAGGTGCAAAGCAGCCAAGCAGTTTTACAGAAAGCAATGTTGCAAGTTAGCTGAAGTACACAAAAATTTGATGCCCTAATATGGATTCTTTCAGTATCTATACAAAAGGACACTGCATTAAAGTAAACTGCTCAAAAGACATAAGGAGAGGAGAAAGGCAATATTAACTTACAGTGCAGCTTCAGTGTCTATGAAGGATGAGACCTTACAAATTGGTTGGGGAAGAGAGCATAGAAGTGGTTACAGACTGACAAAGTAATGGGAGTGACTCGGGAGCACTGTGATGGGTACAATCTGATAAACCTAAGCTCCGTGTACTCCAACAGAGCTTGTGGGACAGAAAGGAGTTTGTTGGACAGAACTGTCTATGGAAATGGGAGGTTTCAAATGAAATCTGTTGTCTTTCTCTGGAGGCCTGGAAGTCCCAGCAGTCCCCAGCCAAGCTGGCCAGGGGCTCCATGCAAGAGCCCAAAGCTGCAGTCTTTTCCAGCCCTGAGGGGCCTGGGGTTATCCAGTCCAGTCCAGCAGTACTCCGGGTCCTCCAGGACCATATTCATCAGTGCTCTGGGGAACCCTGATAGACAGGGGATCAGACTGGGATTGGCTACACGCAAGGCAAGAGTCTTAGCCTCTGTCCCATCTCTTCAGCCCTGCATGAAATTTTCACTCATTGTGAAAGAGAAAACTGGTAACATGCTTGTAGTAATGTGTCAGTTGTGTTTTTCTATGGCTATAGGAGATGTAATATTCCTCCAAATGGGGAGCATGGTTCCTAGAAAGTTTACCTGTTCACCTTTTGAACGCTTATATACTTCTACCAGAAACTCCTTTAGCGTCTCATGAGCACAAAAGAAGCTTCTTCAGAGCTGCCTCCCTTGTGTGGGGCACTTGGGTGGCCTCTGTGGAACTGTTCTCCCCCGACCATCCTCGCACCTTACTTGCACATGGGAACAGTGTTGGCTGCACCACCATCCCTGAACAGGTTGGGACTTGGAAGCTCACGGCCTGTGTTTTGTTTTTTAGGTAGTCGAGCTCCCTGTGAAGAACCAGCTACATACATCACCAGTCTGGGTTAGAGTGCTCTCAGAGCACAAGCCCATGGAGCTGCTGTGACTCTGAGCTCTGCTTATGGGGGAAGGTGAGTGCCCTGAGCGCTGTGGGTGCATGGGGCCCTTCATGCTGGGCACCTACTCTGCAGCAAGTCACACACACACTCTGGAATGGTGGCCAGGCCTGAGGCCTTCGCCCCATGTGCACCCATGACATGGTGTCAGCAGGCCTCACACTGAGGCAATACACAGGAAAGGGAATGTGGCACAAAGAAAACCGTGGCAGGTGTATCACTGTGGGGAAGTACCTATGAGTATGTCCATGTGTGGAAGTGTAAGAGCAGAAGCGTGTTTGCATGTGTGAGGTACAGTGGTGTGTGTGAGGGGGTGGCCATGTGTTTAGGTGTTAGGGGATGTGTGCACACATGTAGGAATATGGACATAGGGGACATCTGTGCATATGTAAGTGTACACGTGTGAAAGAGTATGTGGGCAGCTAGTGTGTAGAGCAGGAGTGTGTATATAAGGAAATGTGTATACAAGACTTTGCATGGGGGCATGTGTGCAGGTATATGTACACGGGAGCATTTGATCGTGTGTGGGGTAAGTGCACATGTGGAGGAGTCGGTGCATGCACGAGTATGTGTAGAAATGTGTGTTTGTATGTGTCCTGGTGGGAGGGATTGTGTATAGGAATGTGAATCTGTGGGGAGTAGGTATCCCCCTCAAATGCAGCTCCCGAACTGGCTCCCTGCCTGGGCTTTCCACCAACAGTGGCAGCTCAGAGCTTCTTCCAGGACTCACCTGCCTGCTGACCTCAGTAAGCTCCAACAGATGCATCCATATATTTTACATGGCAGTCCTCACCCACCTGCCAACGACTTAGAAATCAATTGTCAGGGCTTCGTCTACCTAAAATCAGAGTTGACCCCTGATAATTCCTGATAACTCAATCATGTATAACTTAAACTGATTCGTGACACAGACACGAGAATCAAAGTACCTCCTGGTGGTTATCAGATGAACAGACCTGTGCTAAAGGGACAGCGGGGCTCACAGTGTTCTGAGTCTTTCATGGCTCTAACTTCCAGCTTTGCTCCGCCCTGACCAAATGTTGTCTGTCAGCATGGATATTTTAATGCAGTTCAGCATTTTAATCCCGTGGTACTTGACCTAATTCCATAAGCCTGCCTCCAGTATGGGTCTGAGCTCTGTTTTGTTCCTCTTCCTCGGAGGAAGGTTAAAACCCTCTCAGCCTCTGAGCCCCATGTCAGTGATGGCTGCCTTGCCCTGGCAGTCTGCCCAGGCTCAGGCAGCAAAGGCTCCCATGTGCCCAGCTGTGGCCAACGGCAAGGCAGTTATATACGCAGAGCGGAGCTGCCCTCTGCCTGGCTGTCATTTCCCCCACCGGACCTGCTCTTCCCTCCTGGGGTGTTCTTCATTGAGGCATTCAGCCTGGAGGTGGTGCAGCCTTCCATTGCCCAGCGTTGCCTTTGTGGGCTCCCACACCCTGTGCTCCTGGTGGCGACTCTGGTGCTCCATTCCTTCTACTTACCTTGTCAGAGATGGATGTCTGCCTCACCCTCTCCTATTCCCTTTGCCCTTTGGCACACTCCACTTGCTACATGACCCACTCTGTCCACGTGACACTGCCTCTGCATCTGCCACTTCTCCCTGGCAACACATCTTCCTGCTGTTCCCCCTACTCCTGGCTGCCCAAACTCAGGACTGGGCATGCAGGAGTATTGATCCTTCTCTCCCTGCTGCCGTCCATCTCTGCCTGGGCATGGTAACTGACTCCTAGGCAGGAATCAGTCGGGAGCATTGGTGGGTGAAGGGTCAGCAGGGAGCACAAGTGGGGGTCAGTGGGGAGGACAGATGGCAGGTTGGTGGGGAGCACTGGTGGTTGGAAGGTCAGTGGGGAGCACAAGTGGAGGTGGTGGGTGTGCAGGTGGGGAACACTGGTGAGGCTTTAGGGGAGCACTCATGGGTGGAGGTTGATGGAAGCACTGGTGGGGTTGGGGGAGAGCACTGCTGGGGGGTTGGTGGGAGCATTGATGGCTGAGTCACTTGGCTCCTTATCTCTGTAGAGAAGCTTTCCAAGGGAATGAGCCAGGCAGAGAGACTGCTTGGCACTGATGACTGGAGCATGGTGTGTGGGGCCATGCAGGCTTGGATGCACACTAGAACAAACATGCTGCATCCCTTATGTCTTATTGCCAGAGGTGGCAAGCTTTGTGCTTCTTCAGGAGAGGCTCAGCGTGAGAGAGGCCTCTGAGACAGACAGGCACTGGCCCAAGATGGCCTTCGATGGCTGCTTGTGGAGATGCCACCAGAGGCCTTTTCTGTGGGCTTCCGTTAGGAGCATGCAGCAATCTGGGTGTGTGTGCCTATCACTGTCCCATGCCTTTCTTATTGGCTGGCACCGGAGTTGGTGAGCAGGGTGTGAGAGTCACTCGCTCAGGAGGCCTTCTGGGGACAGACATGATTGTTCCACTGGGGGCCCACACAGCCAGAGTGCACCAGTCCCAGGACCAGAAGAGGAATGGGCGGGGAGAAGATGGCTACCACTCCTGCCCACAAAGAGGCCGAGAACTGACTGCAGTGATGGCCGCGCTGCTCCCAGCTCCGTTTATGAGGACAGCCCCGCCCTTCTCCCAGCTGAGCTGCTGCAGCCTCTGTCCTGCGGGCAATGCCGATGTGTGCCGATTGTGCCCTGACTCTGTTCAGGGGAAGGAGTCATTGAAATGACAGCACATTTGTGCCGGGTGCACCCCTCCGACAAAATAAGGGATTCGGGCAAAAAGTAGGTCACATGTGCCTGGTCCCATGTCACGAGGTTTCCAATCTGAGGCCAATGGGATTTGTAGCCTCCTTTGGTTTAGAACAAAACATCCCTGGTTTTTCTCCTCTAGCATTTTCATCTTCTCTAAAGGAGGAGATTGGCCATCTGTCTAACCACATCCAGCCCACTCCTCTGACCTCCCAGAGCTGCTCTGTTCTGAGGTAAGGGGGTCTGGGGCCGGGGACAGGTGCAACTCCACCACTGACCAGGGAGTAAATGTGTCCATACAGGCTGGACTCGGAACTGGGCACAAACGGCTGCAGAGCAGGTGTGGGGTGTGGACATGGTCGTGTTTGTATGCCTCCCTGTGTGCAGTGGAGACGTGGAAATTATAAACTATGGTCAGAAGTGGCTGAGACATGCAGGTGGCACTTCTGGTCTTCACGGTTATTGAGAGGGGCTGGTCCCCTCTATATCCTGGTTAAGGGACACTAAGGTGCCATGTAACTGCAGCAAGGTGACTTGTGGCCCTAGGGAAGGGCTAAGGATGGGGTTCCCATGCTGGAATACAGGTTGGCTGTGGTCCTTGGACCCACACGTTCTGCACCCCAAGCTCCATTGGGTGAGGATGTCCACACATGGGTGGCTCCCTCCTGTGTCAAAGCGCCTGGTGCTCTAGAGTAAGCCAGCTGAGCCTGCTGCTGACATACGCATGTCTTTTGGAGACCGATTCTTCTGTTAAGGCTCTCTGCCCTCTGGGAAGCCAGCAAAGACTTCTTGGGGAGAAAGAAAGCAGGGGTGAGGGGTAGGGGACCCAGAGCCTGAAAGTATTTATAAACTGAGTCTTGTCACCTACAAGCCACTGGGTTTCCTTCCTCCTGCCCTGTCAGGGGACCCAAGCCCTCCACTAGTTTCGCTGTGTCTGTGTTTCTGGGTCATTGAGGGGCGCCCAGAACATGTGCGGGCAGATGCGGGATGAGCACTGGGCTCTTGACAGACACACAGTTCAGCTACTCTGATTTGGATTTGCTGGAAAACATGTTTGCAGAAAATTTGCCAAAACCGAGGTTATACAGCGCTTTGATTTGAGTATGTTCTAGCAAAGTAACACTTCTTGCCTCTCAGAGATAAGATAGTTGAACTTTGTATTTTAACCAGATTTCCAAGGCATGCTCTTACTCCAAGTCTTGCTCTACCATTTGCCTGTGAATAGCTGGTGGCCAGGCCTGTGGGCAGGCCTGCAAGTCTGCAGCTCCCTGGGGCACACTGAGCAGTGTCTCAGCATTTCCACCCCATCTACCCATCTGGAGGAAAGGGACTATTTCTGCTCTTTCTCTGGGGGATCACAGGAAATGCCTGCGCCTTCATGCTTGCGATTGTAAATGCTACTTTTTACTTGGGGAAAGCCCATGGGTTTCAGGGTGCTTTCACATCCATGTCCTGCCCCCCCTCCCCCACCAGGTATCTGCAAGATGAGCTAATGGGGTACTCTGAGTGCTGGCAAGAGACAAAGGCACAGATGTTCATTCTGTGATGAAAACGGAATTACAGGGGCTGAAGGGAGCTCACCAGACCAAGTGCACCCCCTGATATGGGTGCCTGTGTGCCATCCCCAGTACCACAGGGTGTGGTCCTGAGCAGCTCGCAAAGAATATCCCTGGCCCCCAAACCAAGTAGGATCATGCTCTCGATCCTTGCCTTAAGGGCCATGCAAGAGTATGTAAGGGGATGAGCTTCCCATGCCTGACAGCCTGTCCACCAGGCAGGTCTGTGCCCCGACCTCACACTGCACATCCTCATTATAAACTGAATCTTGTCACCTACAAGCCACCACATCTCCCCATGGGCTTGAGATGGGCTTGTCTTACTTAGGAAGTGGTGAAAGAGGGTTCCTCCAGTTCCCTGACAGTGCTCTCCAGAGACCAGTCTTGGCCAGGGCAGTTGTGGCCTCTGTGTGGGGAAGGCATGGGACTCAGCACCTGCAGCTGAAGCCTCCGAGGAAATGTTTCGTTGGGGGGTGGGGGGGGGCGGAGAAGGGTGGCCTGGTTTATGCCTCACGAACTGTGCAGGTCGGCAGTTCTCGATGGAGCCCAAAACACTCCAGTGTCAGCTAGGAGCTCTCTGGAGAGGCAGTCTTGGCATCCCAGTCAGAAAGCTGGTACGTGTAAGTGCAAGAGTCATGAGCTGCGCCTCAGAGCAGAGGTGGGGACCCAGGATCAGATGGGCTCTGGGCATGGCGAGGCCAGAGTAGAGGCAGAAGCCCTCCTGCCCTCTGAGCCCACGCGCAACCACCCCCCCAGACTGCACCTTAGTGGGGGACCAGGTAAGGAGGGGTGCTCCTGAGAGACTGCCGTTCTAGAGATAGTGACCCTGGCCAGGGCAGAAGGGGCTTAGGGGAACAGCTGGAGGCAATTAGGGGACAGACCAGATCACCTTCTGGAAATTAGGGATGGCCAGTGTTACTAACAGGCTCCGAGTTAGATATCAAGGCTCTGTGGCTCTGGGGTTCAAACCCAGGGCCTCACTCAGACCAACAGGCTCCACCGCCGAGCCACAGCCCTGGCACAAACATCCAGTCTCCAGCTTGCCCTCAAATGCCCACAAACCTGTCTTCCATGCACCAGTGAATTTTAGAACAGAATTCCAAAGTGAATTTTACAATTCTTGTATCTGGGAGGCACGGGCTCGTTTGTCACACAGGCAGGCAGGCACAGGACAGAATGGAAGTCAGGAGTGGAACACAAGGGCAGCATGCCAGGAAGACCAGGAGGGGTTTGCAGGAATCCTCCAAGCTCCTGACCTAGCCTGATGCCTGTCCACACAGGCTGCTGACCACACAGGGGCCTCATAGGGCAGCCAGGACTGAACAGACACCACACCCCAGTGGATAGGTCTCAGAACCATGCCCAGCAGACTTGAGGGAAGGTAAGGGGCACACATGAGCACAGAGCAGGTGGTTGATGTCCAGCTTGGGTGGAGCGACAGTGGATGGAACTGGGCCAGAGACAACTGCAGGCCTAGAATGTTCTGTGCCTATGTCCGTGGTCAATGTGTGTGATGAGTCCTTGCTGTGGCCGCTGCCCATAGTGCTGCCCTCAGAGAGACGACTGTAGGCACATCTGCATATCTGCGAGCCCTCATTCCAGACCCCAGCCAGAGCCTGTTTGTTCGTGACACTTTGTTCTTCTTCACTGACTTTAGGAGGTGCTGCCATGACACTCTTTCCCCAGCTCAGGGCCCGGTTGTGTCTATGTCTTCCTGTGGCTTAGACTGCCACAGAGCCTTGGAGTGGCATCTGGGGCCTGGGATGTGCCAGCCAGGACCTGGCAGTTGAGAGCCCCCTCCCCGATCCCCAGTCTCCTAGGTCCCCGGCAGCTGAGAGTCCCCACCCTCCTCCCCAGCAACTCAGCCCCCAGACCCTGGCAGCTGAAAGCCATCTCCCCTATCCCCAGCACCCCATCCTCCCAGATCTTGGCAGTTGAGAGCTCCCTCCCCAATCCCTAGCACCCCATCCCCCCAGACCCTGGCAGCTGAGAACCCCCTCTCCCATCCTAGCACCCCATTCCCTTACTTTCTTGGCAACTGGGCTGCTTTCCCTGTCAGGCTTACTTTCTTGTGCATTCCCCACCAAGGACCTCGCCATCAGGAACAGGCAGAAGGGTCTGGGGATAGCTCAACCAGCAGACCTGGCTCTTGTAGCTCCAGCCCAGAGTGCACTGTGACCAGCCCCTGTCCCCTCTGCACTCTGCACCTGTAACTTGGTCTTGTGAGGAGGCCAGGGGCCTGAGGCCCTCCTGTCATGCCATCACGGGGCCTTTCTGCCACCTCTCCCCTGAAGCCCCACAGCTGCCCTAAAGGGCACACTGAGGAAGGGGTGCAGCCTCCCCGGTCTGGGCCTGGGGCAGAGGGCAACCTTCCCAGTTTCATACATCACTGGGCCTGCAAGGGTGATTCTCACTGCATGTCTCCGGGGGGAGGGGAGGCACTTTGGGGGTCCCATTTAACTGTATCCTTGGGGGACATGGCCGGTCTGGACAGAAGGTGCCCTGAGCCTGAGCTCCGGAGCAACGGGGGACCCTGCACCTCTTTCTTCTCACTGCCGGCCTTGCCTTTCCCTGGAGTCACTGCCTGCTCTGCTTCTAGCTGACGAATCAAGTAGTTGCCGTCCTGTGCTCATCTGAAAACCTTTGTGTCTGTCTTCTTGGTGTAGAGGGTGCAGATCACCACCTGCCTCGCTTCCTGCTGCCAGCAATTGGGGAAGCACTGTCCCCATTGCCCAGTGACCACAGGAAGGGCCTGGACAGGCACACAGGCTCAGCCCCTACCGTGAAAGGATGGTCTCTCAGACGTCTCCCTCTTCCTCACAGCTGTGCTGAGGCAGCAGGGGGCTCAGAGACTGTCCTGTCTTGTCCTGCTGAGAGCCACTGCACACGAAGGGGATGTTGTGGGGGTACGCATGGGGAGCACTGTGCCACAAGCACCTACTGCTGGCTGTTCCCTGTGCAGATGCGGGCTTACCCTGGAGTGAGGGTGAAGGAAGCCCTGCTGCAGTGCGCTTCTGGCCCTAGGGGAGGGTGCAGACCGCTTTTAATTTTTTTTAATCTCCCTCCCTCCCTCCCTCCCTCCCTCCCTCCCTCAGCCACTACTTCTTTTGGGAAGTAATGCTATGCTTTCCCACCCCCACCCACTCCTGTCCTCGCTTCTTCCACCTCTGCCCACCTCCTGCACGCACCTCTCTCTGATGTGCTTTCCACCCTCTCTTCATCCCTCCCTTCATCCATCCCTACTTCCCAGTGCTACCTCTTCACCACCTCTCTGACCTGGGCAAGGCTGTGCCTTTCCACCCACCCTACCTCCCCTCTGTACCTTGCTGTCTCAGAATTCTACCCACCTTCCCTCCCCCTGCACCTGCTTCTCAGAATTCTATCCTCTCTCCTTCCCTCTGCACCCTTCTTGCTCAGAATTTCATCTTCTCTTCCTCCCCTCTACACCCACCTCTCAGAATTCTACCTTGCCTCCCTGCCCCCTGCACCTCCTCTCAGTATTACAAACTCACTCTCTCGGGCTGCCAGGACACAGTTAGCCTTCAGAACCTCTCCCAGAGCACCCGACAGCAAATGCGCTAATGCACTCTGGCGGCTCCTGCCGTCCTGGCCTCGTGAAGCTGATGGGCACTGAGCTGGAAAATGCGCCCAGCCAAGTGTGCTTCAGTCCCTGGGGCGTGTCCTTGTCGACCTTCCCCATCAGTCTACAGACAACTGAGGCCCTGGATGCATTCTGTACGGACCACCGCACACAGGGGCCCCACAGAGGCTGTGCTGGCTGGCATGCCCCACGCCTGTGTGCCCCCACAGAGGCTATGCTAGCTGATATGACCCTGCACCCATGTGCCAGATGCTGGTGACACACAGCATTTTCTGGGTAAGAATCCAGCTAGAAGGGAACCGGACATACACGGCCAGGGCAGGTACCCCTAGCTGCACTGTGGATATGGGCAGAGCCATGTCCCCTTTCCCACAGAGAAGGCCTGTCAGCTTCGCCATCAGACACTACATGTGAGCACCGCAGCCCCTCAGCATGTAGCAGGGAGGTTGTTTCTCTGCCTGGTGGCAGGAGTGGTAGTAAGAGCTGGACACTGGGCTGGCACCAGTGTGGGCGAGGGCTACATGTCTGTAGAGGCCCCCCTGCCTCCATTCACCACACCCCTCCCTCTCCCAAAGCGTCCGACTGCTGTGCTTGATGTCTGGCAAGAGGGAGGGCCACAGAACAGCTCTGAAGCTAGAACAGTTGAGCTGTATTTCAAGAATCTCACCATGCCCACCACAAACCCAGGTTTTGCAAATTTCATCACTAGAAGGCAGCAAATGAGGTTTGGGCTCTGAGAGGAATAAAGTAAGCAGAGTTGTGTCCCCTGGTCTGCTCCCAAGCCAGTGCAGACATAGCTTCTGTTCAGGCCAGTGAGAAAGGAAGGAAGCACCAGGGCTGTAGGTCAGATTACAAAGGAAAAAAATGCTCCTGTATGCAGAAGTCTCTGAGTATCTGCATCTGAGAACCTAAGTTCATTTGTTTAATAATGCACAATCATCTTCGAAAAGCAACACCCTACCATATGTCATAACTGGATAGTAGAAACTGAGACTCAAACACCATTTACATAAACAACAAAAATGACTCATTGCTCTGCAGCTTGCAAAGATGGGGCTTGAAAGCTCTGAAGTGCTGAGAGAGACATGGAAACAAATTTTGGTACTGACGTGCCATGTTTGTCCACAGATCACTCACGTAAATGTTTCTGGAACAGACCTTTAGTCGCTGGAAGGTTAACTACAACTCCTATCAGAATCCTAGCTGGAGCAACAAAGGAAACCCAGGAGAATTTTGAAATAGAACAGATAAGGGAAATGTTATGTTATTATGGTGCTCTGGAATAGGCACACTCCAACAGTGTACTGTTGCTGGACGGGAAGCACAAACATGAACAAAATAGAGCTGGCTCCAAATACATCCACAGAAATCTGAGCCAGTGAGTGACACGAATAAAGGCATTTCATGAAACATTTTCAAGGAATTGAGTTGAAATAATGAGAGACCTGGATTCTCTATCTCTCCAGATGTTGAACCCAGAGCCTTCCAAGTACAAGGTATCCAGCACTGAGTCACAGCTTCAGCCCCGAAGAGATCTATATGAAAAAAGCCATCCTATAGCAAGGAAACAACCTTGACCTTCTACAAAAATGAACTCAGAACAGATCACTAAATGTAAGCTATGAATGATTTCAGAGAAATGTCAAGGAGACGGACACATCCACAAAAGAAAGTGAGAACTTTCCCTTCATCACAGGCAACCTGTCTGTGAAGGCCCCAGTGAGATGTGAAAGGACAGAGCAGCATCTGAAACCTTTGTAAGCCACAGTCAGTTAGGGATGGAGGGGGAGGGAGGTGTCTACCCAGAGCTTCGTGCAGCTAGAGAACCACCTGAGAGGCCAGAGAGGAGAATGGGGTGGAGAGCTCACTGGAAAACCGTTCTAAACCATAGTCAGTTGGGGTGGGGGTGTCTGTCCGGGAGCATCGTGCAGCTGGAGAACCACCTGAGAGGCCAGAGAGGAGGATGGGGTGGGGAGCTCACCGGGAAAGCAAAGGGCCCGCAGGTAAGAGGCCACCACTAGGCACTGCAGGGTAGGCTGTGCCCAGGATTGAGGGAAGAGACCACAGGTGACTTGGGGCTGCTCAGAGTGAGTCATGCCTGAAGGAGTGGGGCAGGGAAGAGAAAACAGGCTCACCCCAATTGTGTTTCACACAATTGTTCCTGGGGTTACAGGTAGTAGAATGAGCCTATCCTCGTTCAGTGCCCAATCTCACAAATGGGGGGAAACACTCAGCAGCAGAGAACAAAGTCTGGCTTGCACAATGACCTGGTCTCAAGAGAAGACAGAGACCAAAGACCACACAGTCTGTTGGAGTCCCTGTTACAGGACGTGTGTATGTGTGTTTGTGTGTGTGTGTGTGTGTGTGTGTGTGTGTGTGTGTGTGTGTGGTGATGATGATCAGGATGAATCACCGGTGCCTGGGCTGTGTGCTGGGAGATGCGTGCCCCAAAGGGGTCACTGGGGCAGAAATGCCATAGACCTATGCTCCAAGCCCAGGAGAGGGGGTGCTGGACACTGTGCCCTCTGTGTACCTGTGTCGGGTTGGAGTCTTGCTGCTGTGGTTGCTCCACAGCAGCTCACACACTCTGTGCCCTGCAGATATAAGGGGGAAATTGTGCCAATTGGTCATTGGAAGTGAGGGAAAAAAGAGTACAACTGAGCTTTGTGTCATCAGCAAGATACTGACATGAAATACAATAGTCTGGGTTAAAGGCGAGAAAACAGACTCTAAGTCTCAGAACCTAGCGTGCTGCACTGCCAGTGATGGAACATCAGGATAAGGCAGGTGCCAGCCAGGTGGCATGGCCACCTCAAATGCATCTTTGCAGGTAAGAGCACCAAGCCCCTGGCACTCAGAGACAAGGCGGGTCCTGTCAGAGCCCAGTGGAGGGGCAGGGAGCTGGCACATGTACAGCTTGTTGCACGGCTCCTGCCCCAGGCACACTCAGTCCCTTCTGGGAAATAATAAGTGTGGATAAACTAGGTGCCAATAGCTAAAGGTAATGAGGAAATGTCCAAGAATATGAAAACGAAAAGCACAACTCTCAGCCATGTGCCTGTCAAGAGCACCGTCAAGGTCATGCAGAAACCCAAAACATGGCATCTGTGGGTCAAAAGCGTTGGTTGGTCTGCAGGCCCCATGTGTGTGAAAATGCTGACAGAAATGAGAGGCTCCAGAGATTACAGTTTCCATGATCAGAAACTGAGGAAAAATGAGAAGGGAAGGAGTCACAAACTCTGGGCCAGAGACAAGCTCGGTCTCCGATCAGAGAAGTTGCAAGAGAGGGCAAAGGGATCCACACGGAGCCACTGCCGGGTGTCATCAGCCTGATCTGCTGGCTCTCTCTGACCTAGACCAGCTCTTCCTGAGGTTTTCAACCTCATCCGCTGGAACCACTGACTTTGCACGAGAGGCCCCAGACCTGCCCACTGGCATCTTCCACCTTCATGCCTGTATATGTGCTACCTTTCAGCATCTGTCAGGGCCCCACTGGCAGGTCTGTGTGGTGGTCTTACTCCCCATTTGTGCCCACCTCTGATTTCCCTGAGCAATGCAGCCCAACTCAACTGGGCAGTTAGAGAACAAGCTTTGAAACTGAAGAGACATTTCATTCTGCTTCTTTTTCCTCGTCAGGGTCATAGGAGTATTGTGGTACCCTTGTCTCTCCTTATCAATCACTCAGTCATCTTTGTGTGAAGTCCAGGCCGGGATTCTGATACAGTTCTGAGGATTAGGTTAAAAGGGAAATCGCATCTTTCACATCCTGCCCCTGCCTTCTTGTGCTGACCACCGTGGGTGCTGAGCATTGAACAAGACAGTTTGGGGAGATCAGGGGAGACAGGGAAGGACAGCGGTGGGTGAGCTAAATGGCTGCGAACCGGTAGCCTCCTGTGATTTCTGTCCTCTCCATTCCAGTCTCCGGAGTCCATTTTTCCATGATGAGGTGTTGAATTCTGTGAGACACTTTCTGCCTGTGCTGACGTAGTAGTGATGTTTCACTAGGTTGCGGATGTGGTTGATTTCATCACTAGATCTTGAACTCTGAAACAGCCTCCCCTCAGTGGAGAGGATCGAGAGAATCGGCCCGTGTCATTCTTACACTCTAGATTATCGCTGAGCTGTTCTGTGCCTCTCCCTGAGTGTCACCTTCCTCTTTTGTCCTCACTTTGATTTTTGCATCAGGGCACACTGCCAGCTCCTTCAACTGGGACATGTTTCTGCTTCCTTCTGTTTTCTGAACAAGAGTCTACTGGAAATTGTTCTGGAAACAGTGGGTCGGATTTTCCTCTGACTCCTTCAGGGTTAGAGATTTCTGGGGCGGGGTTAATTATGCAGCTTACCCCCTTAGTCATAGAGGCTATGTTAGGGTCCTTTCTTCTGGACAAGGGGGTGTCCAGGCTGTGTGCTGCAGGTGAGGCCATCTGCAGAGCTGTTCTCACACCCACAGGGAATCCCTCACTTTTGTTCTTTGTATTGAGACTTTACCTTCTTTTGCCTTTGTCCACCTCACTGTAAGCCAGTCCGTGTTCCTTTCTTTCTAAAGAATCTACTCTATTTCACTGGTTTCTCTCTAGGTTTTCTGTTTCAAATCACAGATATTTATTTCTTCCTCCTGTTTCCTCAGATTTATTTGTTTTTCCCCTTGAGTTCTTAGAATGAGAGCATGTAGTGTTGATCTGAAATGTGAGACTCAGCTGGGGCATTGGGAGGACAGGCCTCCCTGAGCAGAGGTACACTGTCAGGGTTTTGGTCAGGTCAGGAGCTGTCCAGGATGCCCTGTCTCTGGCCACTGGCCCATAACTGGTAGAGCTGACAGAGGGCCTGGCCCAATCTCTGGCTGACCCACTTTCTCCACAGCCCAGCTGTTCCTGGTCAGAGCAGGAGAGTGGCTTCTTGCTGCAGGTCATGGTGGTCAGCCTCAAGCCTGCATGGAGTTCAGCTGCATCTGCTCCCCAGGGGACCCTCACCCCTTCCCTTTACTGGGTCCCCCCACACACCGTTTGCAAACCCTTGTCTGAGACCCTGGGCATCTGGCAACTTCCCGTGTATTCCACTATTGATCCTTGCAGGAAGTCCTCAACCATGGGGATGTGTTTTGCTGTCACAGCATTCCTAAGGCAGAAGTGTCAGCCCATCTCTCATGCCTCCAGGGGTCCTTCGTTGCCCTGTTTCTGCCCTTCATATTTTCCTGTTTTGTTTTTCACTTGGGCTGGAGCGATAGCACAGCGGTAGGGCGTTTGCCTTGCATGCATCCAACATGGCCGACCTGAGTTCGATTCCTCCGACCCTCTCAGAGAGCCTGGCAAGCTACCGAGAGTATCTTGCCCGCACGGCAGAGCCTGGCAAGCTACCCGTGATGTATTCGATATACCAAACACAGTAACAACAAAAGTCTCCAATGGAGATGTTACTGGACCCTCTCGTGCAAATCAATGAACAACAGGAGGACAGTGACAGTGACAGTGACAGTTTTTCACTTGAACGCATTGAGCAGAAATATTTTGATAAACTTTTTTTAAAATTTAATTTAATTTTATTTTTTGCTGAATAAAGCCCTTTCAAGTCAGAGGAACATCTACAGTCTCCTTTGCTGACGTGTGGTCTCACCTTCCAGGTTAGGTCAAACGTGCCCAGAGCCGGGAGGCACAGGGGGCACAGGTCCGTGCCCACGGATCCTGCTGCCTCATCGTGCGGCTCCCCTCCTCCATCCTCATCTGCAGTCTCTGCCTGCAGGTGCGCAGCGGACAAAGGGCAGGACAGGTGTGCAGGGCAGCCCCCTGCACTGGCGGCCACTGTCAGCACCAGTGGCTGCCATTACCTTCACCCTTCTCTCCTGCCCTCCCTTTCCCTTCTCTCTGCCCCATGAAATGCCCCAATGCCCCTGGGTGCCCATACCTCCTCCCCTTACACTCTGGTCCCCACATCAGCACCTCAAATGAAGGCCCGGACCACACTCTCTCACAGAAAGGCCTCCCCACGTTCCACTCTGTGGAGGCAGGGGGGTCTGAACATGCCCCATACCTCAGGGCACTCCAGCAATGACCTGGCAACCCCATCCTGGGAGCCACTCATCTGGCTCTGCCTCCCTTCCCAGGTGACCCCCTTTGGGCCCCATCTATCCTTCCGTACACCCTGCTTGGTGCCTGGAGCCCGCACCCTCAGCCACATCTCTGGAGTAAGATGGAGTCCAAGGTGTCGGAAGGCGGCCTGAACGTGACCTTGACCATCCGCCTTCTGATGCACGGCAAGGTAAGGGCAGCCCTGGCCACAGAGGGACAGTGCTGAGAGTCCTCTCCAAGCCCTGACCTCGCAGCTCAGTGAGTCCTAATGTGCTCCCACGGCCTTGCTGCCACCCTGTTGGGGGCCTGAGCACCCAGGCCATCCAGTGGGGACCAAAGAGGTTGCTCCCCACCAGGGCCCATGAGCACAGCCTGCAGGATGGCATAGGGGCAATATGCTGCCCAGTGGCCTACGTGTCAGAATCCACGTGGGAGTGACCCTGCCATGACTTTGAGGGTGTCTTTGCAAGTTCCTGTCCACATGTACCCTGCTGTGGAGTGTGGGGCCGTGCTATGGCTCCTGCCAGTGCCCACCCTGCTGAGGGCTCCTGACCACAGCCCTTGTGGTACCCCTCACCTTCCAGAACCCTCTCTGCCCTGATCTAGTGCAGGCCAAGCAGAAACAGCTCTTCCTCGAGTCTGATCCATCAAGTCCTGGACCCACTGGGCGGCCAGAGGGGGGCATGACTCGCTATTAATCTCAGCTGAGACACGTGTGCTCACACATGCCCATCAGTACACTGCTTGTATACATGGTGTGTCATATACCATCATGTTTGACCGCTCACACCCATCCCGGCTCTTGTATGGGTTCCACTGTGCCCACCCATGACAGAAGACCCCAGCTGCCTTGGGACAAGCAGCAGTAGGCCATGTTGAAACTTCTGTGCCCCAAAGAGCCCATGGCCCATGGAGGGTTCAGCACCTCTTCCTCCCCAGTGACCCGCAGGGCCCCAGCATGCAGCCAGCTCTGGGGGAGGGACGGGGCAACTCTGTCAGCTTTACTGCACTGCACTTCCGCAGGAGCAGCCTTACACTGCCACAAAATGTCATTTTGGCCTGGGAGGTTGCTCTGGGAGGTGCCAGACTGTACTGCTGCATCCGTTCCATCCTGGCGTGTGGCACCCCACACTCTGGCCCTGAGTCCTATCCCAGCTGCTCAGTCTTTGCCTCCAGAAGTCCTGACTCAAGCCTGAAAGGGCTGCTCTGCCCCCTCGTGGTGGCCCCAAGGGGCTGCAGTTAGGTCGTGAGGCTCTGCCCCACTGCCTGTGACTCTTTTCTCCATTGCTCCTGCAGGAGGTTGGCAGCATCATTGGGAAGGTAAGGCGCAACCTTCTGCCTCAAGAGCTTGTGGGACCCAGCCCAGCTACCCCTGCTGCATGGCCCCTGCCAAAGTCTGGGAATCCCAAAAAGCCTCCTCTCTTGCTCCCCATAATCTCTCTGTATGCCATGGTGGGTGAGGGTAGGGTTCCTGTCGCATCAGAGAGGAGGCCAGCTCTAGGCACAGCCTCTAAGGGTGCTCCTGCCTTGGGGATCCCCCAGCCCTGCAGCCATCCTGTCCCACTCTGGCTGCTGTGCCTTGTCCTGGCTCCCTCCATGAGGCCCTATGCCCCGTCCTAGTGATTTTGGGGGATCTCACTAGGGTTCCCCCCCATGTGGCACCTTCAATGTCAAACCCAAGCTTGGAGCCCTAGTGACCTCTTGCCCTTGTCCAACTCTTGGTTCCAGAAAGGAGAGACCGTGAAGAAAATGCGGGAAGAGGTGAGTGTAGTCTGGCCTCTACGGTCCTAGTTCCTGGGGGACAGTGAGGGGAGGGGCAAGGGGCGTGCACAGACTCCCCGGGCTGTGTCCCCTGGGATGACACAGCATCCCAGAAGCTGTGTCGTGTTGGCGTGTCTATCTAGGGGGTGCCTAACAGCCCCACAGAGGCCTCCAACCACTCTGTCACCACCCTGACTCTTAACTCCCCTTTTGAGGGGGGAGGCAGTTAGACCACACCTGGTAGTGCTCAGGGTTCACCCCTAGCTTTGTGCTCAGGGCTGACGCCCGGCTCTGTGCTCAAGACTGATCCTGGTTCTATGCTCAGGGTTGACTCCTGGCTCTGTACTCAGGGATCACTCCTAGCTCTGTGCTCAAGGGTCACTCCTGACTCTGTGCTCAAGGCTCACTCCTGGCTCTGTGCCCAAGGGCCACTTGCCAGTCTGTGCTCAGGGATCACTGCTGGTTCTGTGCGGAGGGCTCATTCCTGGCTTTTTGCTCAGGGCTCACTTCTGGCGAGGCTAGGAGACCATATGTGGTTCTAAAGATAGAGCTGGGTCAGCCATGTGCAAAGCAAGCACCTCTCCCTTGTGCGCTCCCCTCCTCTCTCTCCCTCTCTCTCTCTCTCCCTCACTCCCTCCCTCTCTCTTTCCTTCTCTCTCTCCCTATCTCTCCTCTCTCTCCGTCTCTCTCCTTCTCTCTCCCTTTCTCTCCCTCTCTCTCTTTTCTCTTTCGCTCTTTCTCTCTCTCTCTCTCACTCTCAATCCTCTGACCCCTCCCAGAGTGGGGCAAGGATCAATATTTCAGAGGGAAACTGCCCAGAACGGATCGTGACCATTACAGGCCCCACAGATGCCATCTTCAAGGCCTTCGCCATGATCGCCTACAAGTTTGAGGAGGTAAGATGGGTCTTCAAGCCCTGGGGAGGCACCTTGGTTCGTTCCTTTTGGGGGGTGTGGTGGTGGTGGGGTTCTGGGTCAGCACCTCAGCCCATCCCATGTGTGTGAGGCATTCAGGGGCTTCCACCCTTGTCTGTCCACCCTTGTCTTTTTGTATGGCCCTGGTCATCGTGTCCTGTTTTGTCACACTGAGTTCCCACATTCCTGCATGTCTGTGTGAGACTCCATGTGTCTCTGCCCCTCATCCTGGGTCACTGAGGCCCCACAACCCACCCCCACCCCCAATGGGAGCTCAGAGCTCCACACCTCCCTTGGCACCACACCACTAACACGTATGTCCTGCTTATCCAGGACATCATCAACTCCATGAGCAACAGCCCTGCCACCAGCAAACCCCCAGTGACACTGAGGCTGGTGGTCCCAGCAAGCCAGTGTGGATCCCTGATTGGGAAAGGCGGCTCCAAGATCAAGGAGATCAGGGAGGTAACAGGAACTGCCTGCCTGGGGGACTGGCAGGGCCAGGGGTCAGCCTGCCTGAGCCCAGGCCTTGCCAGGAGCTCTGGGGGGACGTGACAGGCACTGACACAGCCGTCACTGGGGATGAGCCCAGATAGTGCCCCCAGTAGTGATTATCAAGACCCTATGTCCCGGGCACAGAGGCTCCCCGTGACAGCTCATTGTCCCCACCCCTGGGCTAGAGTACATGTGAGGTGAGCTCACATGAGCTGCAAAGGTACCTTCCCTTCCCACTTGACTCTGCCCTCTGGACTGAGCCCTTCCCTCTTCCCAGGAGGGCTCCTACTCCAGGCCCTTCCAGGTCCCCTCTTTCCTGTTGTCTGAGGCTGTATGCAGGGAGAGCTCTGCATGTCTGAAATAGGCCGCTGGAAAGATGTCTCCTGCCTGTTCCCAGCAGGAAATACCCTGTCTAGTGTGCCCCCCACCGCCAGCCCTTCAAGGGGCTATGAAGGAAGCTGGGCACCCTGTAGAGAAGCTGGGGTCCACTGCCCCCACTGCAGGCCCTCCCCACCTGTCTCTCCAGTCCACAGGTGCTCAGGTCCAGGTGGCTGGGGACATGCTGCCCAACTCCACAGAGCGGGCAGTGACCATCTCGGGGACCCCCGATGCCATCATCCAATGCGTTAAGCAGATCTGTGTGGTCATGCTGGAGGTATAGTCGTCGCGTGCCGGTCCATCACTGCCTTCGAGGGTCAGCCTGGAGAGTGGGCATCCAGGCACTGAGCCCTGTACTGGGCCAGGGGGCCAGGGTACAGGCGGTGGGAGAGTGCATGGGGGCAGCGGTGTGGAGGGAGAGAGGACTGAGCTCCCCATCTCTGGAAGGGAGAGATTCGCCTCTGTGATGCAGTGGAGTCAGTGCAGGGCGGTGGCAGTGTCCCCGCTCAGACTCGGCCCACGGAACTGACGAGCAAGCTCAGGTCACCGGATCCTGGAGGTCGGAGCTAGGCTGGGCATAGGAAAAGTGCCCGACAGTGCCCGGAGTGGAGAGGGGCCAGTGAGCCACTGGAGCCAACAGGCAGAGCCGGGAGAAGCAAGCACGCCTGCTAAGGAGGCAGGACACAGCGTCAGCAGCCAGACTGTGTCCAGGTTCCCGCAGCAGCCACGCAGGGCTGGGCTGAGCCAAGGGGCCCGTAGCCAACCAGTGCCTCTGCTCGGCACCCGAGATCCCCACGACACTGGGTACCCCCAGGACTGCGGAGCCTGAGCCCATCGTTTCTGCGGGACTTTCCCTGAAGGATGATCCTCAGTGGCCTCCGAAACACGTCTCTAAACGTTGTTTTCAAGCTTCCTCTACACTGCTTATGGGGTGCGTGGATGGGGCTGCTCCCCGGTGCTAGGTGCTGCTGAGGGGACCTGTGGGGCCTGCTCAGGCTCCCAGGACCCTTTCCCCGGTCTCTCGGCACTGCCCTCTAGTGGCCGTATGGGTAATGTGCAGCTCCAGCAGGCCAGAGCTGAAGTCCCCAGCTGTGGAAACTGGACCTCGTGGCGGAAAGGGCCCAGTCTGAAGTCAGGCCCAGGTGGGAAGGTTCATCTCTGCCGGGGAAGCTGGGTGCATGTAGCTCTGTGAGCCTATGTGATGGGCTGACCCTGCGCCATCTTGTTCTCATAAGGGCACAGGCCAGGCAAGCAGCCATCACCATGGCCCTAAAGGAGGGACCGTGGGACAGATGGCAGGGGATTGGAGAGTTGCACATGTTGGAGGTGAGCCAGACACCCTAATCCCCAGAAAGAGGACAGTCCAATGGTGTGGGCCTTAAGCACGCATGGACCCGCTCCAATGGGAGCTTTGCCGGGAGCTGTGCTCCAAGAGCTCCTCCCTGTCTGAGGACATGAGTACAGGCAGAATCAGAATCACGGTCAGCTGACCACTGAGTAGAGGACCATCAAGTACTGGCCCTGATGGCAGGAGAGAGGAGCGCCAATGGAAGGGCAAAGGAGTACTAAGGGGGGGACAGAGGAGCACCAAGGGGGGCAGAGGAGCATCAATGGGAGGGCAGAGGAGCACCGAGGGAGGGTCGAGGAGCACCAGGGGGCAGAGGAGCATCAACAGGATGGCAGAGGAGCACCAGGCGAGGGTAGAGGAGCACCAAGGGGGACAGAGGAGTACCAAGGGGAGCAGAGGAGCACTGGGTGCTGGTCCAGAAGGAGAATGCAATAGACAGAGTGACAGTTAGGTGTAGCTCATTCTCTCACCTGAGCTCCAGCTCTGCCTGAGTCCTGCCGAGACCATACTATCCACTGTGCTCAGGTGTTTCTGGATGAGTTTGGTTATGATCCCGGAAATCCTGAAGCTGGACCATTTCGGGAACCCAGGCTCACCCCAGACACTAGCCTGGATCAGCTCAGAGACCCTCAACCACCTTACATTCTTTAGAGTCACATGGCATATGCAAAGTCACAGCGTGCTCAAGGTCATGGCATGCTCAGGGCCACCGCATGAACAAGTCATAGTGTGCTCAAGGTCATAGCATGCGCAAGTTCATGGCATGCGCAGGTCACCATGTGCCCAGGGTCACAGCGTTCTCAGGGTCACACGTGATCAGGGTGACAGTGTGCTCAAGATGATGGTGTATTCAAGGTCACAGTGTGGTTAGGATCACAGCGTGCTCAAGGTTACTGCGTGCTCAAGGTCATGGCATGCTCAGGATCACATCGTGCTCAAGGTCACAGCATGATCAAGGTCACGACATGCTCAGGGTCACGGCGTGTTCAAGGTCACAGCATGCACAGGATCACAGCGTGCTCAGGATCACAGCATGCTCAGTGTCCCAGCATGCTCCAGTCAGTCAGGGTCACGGCGTGCTCAAGGGCCCAAGTGTGGCCTGGGTACAGAGACAGATGTGCCTCCCTATCCACCCTTTGGCTAACTGATGCCTGGTGGGTACACACTGGGAACATGGAGGGCTGAGGCATGGACAAAGCCTGACTGGACCCCAGCTCTCATGAAGGAATGGGTATCCCCACCAGATTCTCGCCACGGAGGGTGGGAGATGAGGCTGGTGCCAGTTGCATGGTGGTGGTGATGGTGGGGGTGTCTTTGATCAGAGACAGCAGCCGCCTGGAAATGGCACCTGTGCTTAGACATGGGCATCAGGGGAGAGGGCAGGGACAGGCTTCTGCCTCTGGAGTGGACTCAAGTGTTTTGGGGGGTGAAACTGGTTATCTGTGACCCTTCTGTGGTGGGTCCCCTGACCTGAACTGGGGTCCAGGGTGCAGGGAGGCTGCTCCCGACGGGCAATGCATAGAAGGTGACTGTTTGGAGGGGACGGGAACGGTGCTGTTCTGTCACATGTGAATGGATGGCACCCTGGCTTGGTGGCACCATTTGTCTAACCCCATAAATTCCTCCCAAAGCCAGCACAGCATATGGGGCACCTTTAGGGGCTGTGCCGTGGGTCAGGGTACAGTGGGCAGATGGGCAAGCGCATGGGCTGGCTCGGGAGAAGGCCCGAGATCAGGAGTGCTCGCTGTGGGGCCACACTAACGCTCTCTCTCCCTCTCCTGTCCCTTTTCCTAGTCCCCACCGAAAGGTGCCACCATTCCCTACCGCCCAAAGCCCGCCTCCACCCCTGTCATTTTTGCAGGTGGTCAGGTAAGAGCCGACCCGCTCGCGGCCTCCACTGCCAACCTCAGCCTTTTACTGCAGCCCCCGCCGCTGCCCGTTAGTGCTCTCAGGTTTTCTTGCCTCCTCACTGCGCGGGCCCCTCGTGCGCGCGGACGCAGAGCCACTCAGCCACCACCTGGCACCCAGTGTTCACGGGCAGGAAGGACTGGGGAGGATGTCCTGGGTGGGCAGGTGCCCATTCCCCCCTGAGCTTGCCCAGGGCAGTTTCTTCCACAGCTCTCCGAGCATACTCCAGGCCTCACATTTACAGTGGCATGCCTGGCCCACAGGCTCCCTTTCTCCAAATGCCTGATCACTGTGCCCAGAAGCCAAGGGATGGGGAGGAAGCTGCCCCTGGCCTCAGCGGGGCTGAAGCCACTGCCTGCCAGGGTGGAGTGCTGGAGGAGGGGTGCAGAGAGTTTGGCTCACCCCATGTCCATCCCAGGGCCTTCCCTCTAGCCTTGGGGAGACTACAGAGGGGTTAGGACCTGCGACCATGGCCCAGGCATGCTAGGGCTCTGCGTCCAGTCGACGGCACACATGTCTGTCTATGGAGAGTTAAGACGGAGACTTCCCGTGAGACTCGGCCACCCACTTGGCTGGACTGAGGGAGCGGCCAGCAGGCAGAGGTGGAAAAGGTTTGCTCAGGACAACCTCTCCCATAGAAGGGTCTGGGCAGAGGGCCCCACCACACTGAAGCAGGGGTTGTCTGTGCCCACTGGAAGGACCTGCTTCCCACCAGCCTGTGCCTGAGGGCCCTCATGTCCTGATCCTGCAGGAAGTGGCAGAGGTAGGGAACTCTACCTCCACCTTTGGGCTGTAGCCTAAGCTACATGCTTTAGCAGGAAATGTCAGTGCAGAGTCCCCGAGCAGCTCCTTCCTATGACACAGTGTGGCCTTGTGTTCATTAACAGGCCTGGTACTCCCTTACCACACGCATCTCTCCAGGGCTGCTCTTGGGGGTCAGTGTCCTCGCCCATTTGTGCACCCCAGCTGGTCCCTGTCATCTGGATAGGGACAGCCACATCATCCCACGTCTTTCTCAGACATTTGTCCGAGCAGGAAGATTTTTGCTCCCTCCTAACCTGCCTGCCTCCCCCACCAGTATGTTTTTTGGGGTTTTTGTTTGTTTGGTTGATTGGTTTTGTTTTTGTTTGTTTGGGGTTTTCTGGGGTTTTTGTTGTTGTTGTTGTTGTTTTTGTTTTTTGTTTTTTTTTGCTTTTTGGGTCATACCCGGCAATGCTCAAGGGTTACTCCTGGCTCTGCACTCAGGAATTACTCCTGGCAGTGCTCGGGGGACCATATGATATGCTGAGAATCAAACCCGGGTTGGCCACGTGTAAGGCAAATACCCTACCCGCTGTGCTATTGCTCCAGCGCCCCCCCCCCCCACCACCAGTATTTGGCCTTGAGCCCCTGAGGGGCTGTGGAAGTGGTGCGGGCCTGGCCTGAGGTCTCCCTCTAGGGTGCACAGGACACCCCTCTTCTAAGTGCAGGGCACCACACCTAGTGGATGTCAGAGCTGTGTCCTCCCAGGCACACCTGCAGGCCTAAGCATTGAGCCCCGGGAGCAGGTCTCAGTCTTGACTCTCCTCCACTTCGTGTGTTTCATGGGGTTGGGGTCTCGAGGTTCTGGAAACATCTTAGCTGATGGGCCTGGGGGTGGGACTGCAGGGGCCACAATCAACATGACTGTCAGTGTCCTGATCCCAAATGAGACCCACATCTGGGAGCTGCACCCAGCACTCTTGATCCCGGGTCCACTCTGACCCGGGTCCACCAGCCCACCCGGTTTCACACCTGGCTTGGTTGCCTCAGACAGCTCCTTCTCTCTCTTTTTCTTTTTCTCTTTCTCTTTCTCTTTCTTTTCCTCTTCCTCTTCCTTCTTCCCTTCCCTTCTCATCTCTTCCCCCTCCTGTTTTCTCCCCTCCCCTTTAATTCCCTTCCCTTCCCTTCCCCCTCTCCTTCTCCACCTCCTCCACCTCTACTCTCCTTTTCTCTTTTCCTTCTCTTCTTGGAGCACATGTTTTATAGAAGTCTTTGACATCTGACTACATTTTCAGAGTTTAGTAAGCAGTAACTGTGATGGGCAGGTCATTATTTTGTGTCTAAGTTGGCATAGGGGCCTGGTAGAGCTCAGTCCCAGGCACCGGTGGGTATAGCTCTGCTGACTCTGAGAATCTCCAGGGAGACCCCAAAACACTTGGGGCATGAGTAGGAGGGGAGAGTGGAGCTGAATTCTCTCCTCCCTCCTGCTTCCTGGCCAAGCTTCCTGCATCCCTCAGAAGCAGCTGGGTGCAGCTCCCCACTTGTTTGCTTGGACTCAGATGGCTGAGGACGTGGGCCCTGGTACTGGGCCCCCTTCTGTCCTCCCAATCTCTTGATGGGGCCAGTGACTAAGGAGAAGCCACGTTCTAAAGAAACCCGCCCTGTGGGGGGGAGAGGTCCCTCTTTCTGCCTGACCCCGCCCCTTCTCTCTCTCCAGGCCTACACCATCCAGGGACAGTACGCCATCCCCCATCCAGATGTGAGTGCTCACACGTCTTCCTTCCCTCTTAGTGCCCTCACCTGCATGCTGCTTTCACTTGCTGTACTATTAATATTACACAATAATATTAATACTTTCTCAGTGTATCTGACCCTTGTCATTGACCTGTGACCTCGAATAACCTCTAACCTCTCAGCGCTAATCTACTTATGGGGAGGACTTGGCCTGACGTCATATTGTTAGACTGTCTCTGTGATGTGGGTTCCTCTGCAGGGGTTGCTTTGCCCGCCTGGCAGCTGCCCATGCCAAGGATAGTGGGATCTATGCACCTTCAAGATGGCTGTGTGTGGCATGGGGCTTCTCAAAGGGCTATAAGGGCACTGGTACACCAGTGCATCAGTGCTCCTGTGTTTCTGTGCTCCTGTGAGACTGATCCTGTGTGTCTGTCTGTAAGTCTATGTGTCTCTGCATCTGTGAGTCTGTGCTTCTGTCTGTGTGTCTGTGTGACCTGTATATCTGTGCACTGTGCTCCTGTGTGTCTGTGCTCCTGTGTGTCTGTGCTCCTGTGTGTCTGTGCTCCTGTGTGTCTGTGCTCCTGTGTGTCTGTGCACCTGTGTGTCTGTGTGTGCTCCTGTGTGTCTGTTTGTGTTCCTGTGTGTCTGTTTGTGTTCCTGTGTTGTGTCTGTGCACCTGTGTGTCTATCTATACTCCTGTGTGTATGTCTGTGCTCCTATGTGTCTGTCTTTTTGCCTGCATCTGTTCTCCTTTGCATCTGTGCTTCTAAGTGCCTGTTTGTCTGTACACCTGTGCATCTGTGTACCTGTGTACCTCTGCACCTGTGTGTGTGCACCTATGTGCCTGTGTCTGTGTACCTATTGTCTGTGCACCTGTGCATCTGTGTACCTGTGCACCTATGTGCCTGTGTCTGTGTACCTATTGTCTGTGCACCTGTGCACCCATGAAGGTATGCACCTCAGCACCTGTGTCTTTTTGCAACTGTGACCTGTGCAATCCTTCCAGAGCCAGGGCATACCCAGGCCCAGCAGATCCTTGAGTTCTTCCTGAAATCCTGAGATGTGGGGTGAGGGGTGGCCCTGGCCTTCCCCCAACCCCCATCACACTGTGCATAAACTGGGCTAAGGGAGATGGTGGAAGCCCATTGTGCAGGTGAACTGTGCTCTGGGGCCCTCACCCCTCCAGGACCATTTCTCTGCAGCATTCCCAATATGGGGGCCATATGGGAGAACCCCACCAAGGTTCTCCCAGAGGCCCAACCTTCCGCAGTCCCCCAACAGGGAGGAGCTGCTCACCCAAGTCACGTCATACAAAGATGGCTAAAACCCTGCAGCTCCACACACAGGGGGTGTCTGGGCACTCAGCCCTGCCCTATCCCCAGAACACCACACACAGGGGGTATCTGGGCGCTCAGCTCTACTCCTTCCTGACACTCTGTCCCCATACGCAGCATCAGCCTCTGCAGGGAGGACTGGCTCCCCAGGCCCTTGCACTCCTCACCTCGTGCTCCTGAGTTGCCTGCTCAGGTCGGGACCATGGCCCAGCCCAGGTTCCTGCCTGCGCGTCTGCTCTGCTCTTCACCAGCCACCATCATCCGCTTGAATCTTCAGGTAGAGAAGCTCATGGAGGGCAGGAAAGGCCTGTCCTTGAAGGTACTGGCAAGGCAGCCCTGCGAGGTCCAAGCAAGAGCACCAGCGTCCCCTCTCTGGTGTGTTCACCTCACAGTTCTCCAAAGCCCTGTTCTGAGGTTCTAGCGGGGCTTCCTGACCTGGAATGGGGCACAATTCACCAGCTTTACCCTCCTGGGAACTGCCCCTCCTACCTGGTGAACTCCCTGGCACCACCCCAACCCCAACTTCCAGAACTCCCCTGAGTGCTCGCTGCAGAACTGGGAGCCAGGAACTGTGAGCAGTGACCACATATGACTGAGAGATACTGTTTGATTAATCTGGATGACCCAGATGCATGTTTCCTACCCTGCCCAGTAGAGCGAGTTCTCAGAATGCACACCCCACACCGCCATGTGCTGCAGACATGACTCAGAGCACAACAGCTCTCTGGAGCGCCGTGACCATAGCCTCCAGTTCCGGGCCTCAGGTTAGCTTCACTTTCCATGGGCCTGGAAGAGCAAGCTGGATCCCCCACCACTGTTCCGCCTGCCTCCTTTGTAGGACACTTCTGGGACCTGGTATGGCCTCCACTCAACTCCTTGTTCTCGACTCCTTGTTGCAGCTTCCCTGGTGGTCAGGTGGGCCACTGGGGCACAGATGGGGTGACTGAGGTTCCTGGAGGAACATTAGCCTTAAGCATATCCCAGGCCCTCCCAGGTGTCAGCAACATCACCCCTGAGCATCAGGCACACCCAGGAGCAAGCCGGACAGCTTCCCGCCTGTGCAGTGCAGGCACAGGACTTGTGCGAGGCAGCACAGTGGCTTAGGTACAACAGAGCCCTCTGGTTGGAGGCGCCTGGCCCGAGGGATTGCGGGCCATGGCAGGACTGTTGGCTTCTTCGCTCTTCCCATGGGAACTTCTTGACTGGCTCTGGTTAGCAGGGCTGACCAGGACAGATTGCCCTAGGCCCGCAGAGCTGGAAGCACCTCCAAGGGTACCCGGAGCCCAGGGCCAGCAACCGGACCTGTGGCCCTCCCATCCCCTGCTTCTCCAGACAGCAGGGTAGCACCTCCATCACCATCTGAGGAGGAATCAGCTGGTGCCGGGACAGAAGTTTTCCTGTACTCCATCTTGAGTGGGATCTTTCACCTCTTCTTCTTGAAGCCCAGATATAAAGACTCCCTGAAGCACAAGCCATACCCCACCTTTCAGCCATCACAGCAGCGTCCCTGCCATTCCCTCTTCCCCTGCACCAGGGGTTCCTAGAGCTGAAGTGTGAAGCCACCTCCCTCTCCTCACCTGCCGGCCCACGGGAATGGGCACTGTTTGACCTCCTGGGGATGCTGGATGGTGGAGAGCCAGCACCCAGGCACCTGGCCCAGCCAACTGGAAGGTGATGTACTTGACCGAGTCTCTGTGCTGGATGGCAGTGATCAGGCCCCAGGAGATGCTGCCACACCTCGGAAGCCCTCCTTCAAGTGAGATCTGTTCCCTGGTGCTGGCTGGCATTGGTGCCTGTGGTGGAGAGGGTCCTGCAGAGAGGGTAGGAGGGCTTGGAGTTGGTGTGCCGAGTCTGCTTATCTCCCAAGCCCGCTGTGCTGAAGGGCCACTGAGGGGCAGAGCTGTCACAGGACAGGACTTCTGTGGTGTTCAGATCTGTGAGGAAACTTATCTGGGTGGGAGCGTCAGGAACCAGTGAACCAGTGTTTCCTGTCACTTGTCCTCATCCTGTGCACACGTAAGGATGACCCTATGTGGTGCTCCTTTGCATTTCTCAGGGCGAGAACAGTTGGCAGTGCACTCCCCCCAGCTCCTGGTTCTTTCCAACCAACAGCTCCAGGGTTGGAGGTGCCTGCGTTTACAGCTACAACCAAAAGCATGTGCAGGCCCTTCCTCTCCAATGAGGGGGAGCCTGGGCTTCCACTCTGGGGTGGCCGTCCCTGATCTCTCCCCCAGTCCTCCTCCCACCAGCCTCAGGAAGCAGAATCTGTACTTTCTCCAGGTCCCCCTGGAGCTGTTTGCACCTGAAGTCTGAGCTCTGCTACCTGGCTTGGAAGAGAGCAGTGTCCAGCCAGTCAGAGCCCAGCAAGGGAGGACGGGTGGACCTCTAGGTACTTTGCAGAGAGCAGCTCTCAGTTCTCAGAATGAGTAAGGAAATCTTTCCTATACTCCCAGCAAACCTTGGTGAGAATTCCCTTTAGCCATATCAAGTAAAGCCACACAGTATCAGAGACCCCAAAATGGCCCCATACTCAAAAAGGATACTCCGAAAGAGTAAGAAAAAGTGATGTGACTTCACCAGCAACAGTGGAAGCAGAGGGATACCTGAAGACAAATATTGGTTAACCAGGAAGTGCCAAGAGGGTGTTCTGGAGGCCTTTCAGATATTTCAGACAGAGCTGAGTCAGCGATCTCACCTGAGATTTTCTTCGGAGGAACACGGTCCCAAGAGAGTGGTGAGCAAGGACAATTACCACCTCTTTCATTAGCTTACCCCAGACAAAGAAAATATTGGCAATCTGGATGTCATGAAAATGTAAACATTGGAGTAAATGAAACCCAACACTGTTTGTAAAATCATGCCAATGCCAATTTGTGAGATTAACGTAGAAGTATAAAGTGGACAGACCATAGCTGCAAACATGAAAGTAAGATGGGGGCGGGGGAGGGGGAGCTGAGACCCCTCATCGTCATGGTGTCTCTCAAGAGGACTAAGAGTCCAGTAAAGAGATGAGGAAAGGGAGTTGAGACTTTGAGAGTAATGAGATTTGGGACCCGTGTGATAGTACAGTGTTTAATCACTTGGTCCTCATGGTCCCCAGAGGACAGAGCTGGGGGTGGCCCCAGGACCCCAAAAGAAAACAAAAATAAATATTAACTGACAGTAAAAGATCTCCATTATATAATTTTATAAAGAAACGGGGCAAGGGGTGAGGGAAAACATAATTAAACACAAAGGAAGAATAAAGAAAAAATAGAAAATCAGGACAATTAAAATGCAAAATAAATGCAGGAATTTGGCCTGTGCAGTGGCTAATTAGAATAAGGAAACTTTCCAGTTAGGAACAAAAGCAGTTCAACTGTTTGAAACTAAACAAACAGACAAGCAAACAAGTCAGGAATTCTAACAATTTTTTTTAAGGAACATAAATCACAACAAAGAGAACAAAGTAGAATATAAAATTCAAGGGAAACACTTCTATAAAAATACTAACCAAAAGAAACCTATTATACCAATATTATTACCAGTTTTCAGACTGGGGGTTCAGGGAGAAACAACACTTTTGTCTTAGACAAGTTTGTTGTTTTGGGGGGGCGACACTAGCTGTGCTCGGGGGTTGTTCCTCGCTCTGTGCTCTTCACTCCTGGTGGGATCAGGCTGTATGAGATGCCAGAGATTGAACCCGGGTTGGCTGCATACAAGGCAAATGTCCTACCCACTGTACTATCACTCCAGCCCCATTTTAGACGATTTTTAAATTGTTTCATTTGTTTGGAGCCATCCCTCAGAGGCTACTCCCAACTCAGTGCTCAGGAGTTGCTCCCAGGTTGCTTCAATGCCCGTGTGGGGCTGGAGTGGAACCCAGGCAAGTTTTTTATCTAGTTTTTTTATCATTATGTGGTGATCAGAAGTTCAGTTCACTTCGGTATTACAATGAATGCCTTGAGAACAGCTTCAAATCATGAAAAAACGGTTGAGAATCATAGAGGACCGATATTGTACTGGAACCTAAACCCTCTTTTCAGCACAGCTCAAGTCGAAAGAAGATACTAGCATAGTCTGACCTACACCCCACATAGTATGTGTGTAATGTTTGAACGCAGGCTGGGCCATAGACAAGACTAACCATCTTCCCCAAATCGGAATCATCACCTGGGCTCTCTGACAAAGCAGTTGAATGGAGTCATAATTAAAAGATTACTTTTTAAAATGATGCCTTGTCAGAATTTACAGAAACCCAAATAAATGAGACACGGGCCATGTCTGCGGACGGGGACCTCTCAAATGTGCCAGTGCCTCCCAGATGGAAGTGCAAGGGCACCATCATTCCAGTCAGAAATCTTCCAGGAACTGCTGTTTCAGATGTTGATGGGCAAGCAGAGGCAAGGCATCCTTGGCGGGTCTCCATGAAGAGAAATGTGCCAGGGACACTGGCACCAGCAGAGACACAGACAGCGTCAGTCCATGGCATCCATGGCAATATGGTTCCACACAAGGAGAGACTCTGCAGAGGGCCAGGCAGAGGGTCTCGAGGGACTTGACCCCAGAGGCAGGGAATCTGGGTCAGGCCTGCCAGCGAGAGCCCCCAGAGGGGAAGTGCTAGGACACCCGGACAGGAGAATGGAGCCTTCCAGAGTCTCTGTGTCTCAGGAACTTCAGCTGAGGAAAAATGCTCATGCCCTCTTCACACAGAACTCCGGCAGAGTGTCTGTCCACTTGGACTAGGGAGAGACATCTCAGGAGTCTCAGGAATATTGAATGTCGCATATTGGGACCTTCTCATTCATCTCAAGACGCTCTAAGGGGTTAGAAGCACCATCCTCAGCACATGTGACTGAAATGGGGTTCCTGTGTGATGTGTGGATTAGTAGTTAGCCCTGTGGAGAATAGGCATGAGACTGAGGCAAGCCTGTCACAGGAGAGTCCTCCAGGACAGATCTCCAGCCTAGCCCTAGTCCCTTGGCAGTGCCATACTCCTCATTCACAGGGCTGTGCACAGGGGGCATCACTTGTTTGGCTGTTAAATTCCAACACAAAAAGATAGGCAGGTTAGAATCAACTCTGTGCCCTGCTGTGAATGACATAGGTGGGACACAGGAGCCCACAGACCCTGTCAGAGTCCTGGGCCTAGCACTGGGAAGCTTTTGCTCTCTAGATGTGGGGTTTCCTTCTTATCCTGGACTCGAATTCTGCCCTGGCATGGCAGCCAGTGTGTAGGCAGGGACATCTCCGCACTTAACGCAAGTTATCCAGTATGCCACTGGGCGCTGATCTCTCTAGCGTGGCACATGTCACCTGTCAGTTCCTTAATCCCTGAGCCACAGACAGCCACAGGTATGGCACCCTCTTCCCATACCTGTGTGCCAGAGGCTCTCCTGCCCCCTTTCTAGGGTACTTCCCTGCCCAGCTGCTCAGGTAACACTGTGCTCCATGGTGTCGGCCCCAGAGACCCACTCCACCTCTGCCACGTACCCCTCTGGGACTCTTAGATCTGAACATTGGATCACTGTGCCCCTCATTCTCCCAGACATGACAGATGTTCCAAATGGCTCCTGAGATCAGGATGCAGCCTCACCCCAATTACCTGATCCAGGTTGTCAGGCTTGGGAGTGGGCAGGCGTGAGCAGAGCCTAGATCCTCCAGGACCAGGAGCCGGCAGGGAAAAACCGATGGAGCAGCTTTTGTACTGCCGCATCCCCACCCCTCACAGGAGTAACCAGCTGCCCCTCCATGCATGGCTGTACTCCAGGTTGTAGTGCCCCAAGGAGGCCGGACTGATGGCCCAGCCCTATGTCCAAGGTTTGGGCAGGCCAGCTGGGATTCTGGGAAGGTGCAGGCTTGGCTAGGGGAAAGCGCAGGCACCGACTCTCACCCAGGGCTCACTGGTGCAGCCACGGGCAGGTGTAGACATCAAACACCCACCGTGCCTGAGTTTCGGGGTCTCTAGTCTGGTAGAGCCAGTGGGGCCTTGTGGGAGTTTCTGGGAGTTCTTACTATGTACCAAGGTGGCTGTGTCTCCCCAGTTTCACCTTCATATCTCCTGCATTTCTGTCCTCCCAAGGCCCAGTGGCCAGGGGTGAAGTACTAAGGCAGGAACAGTACTCTCAGCAGCTCTCACCGTCCCACGGAATGTCCCACAAAGGGAATTCTGGGACATTCCCACCATTGGGTCAGGAGTCATCTGGAGTCCCCACATCAGAGGGAGCTATGCGAGAGGGGTCAGCCCCACCTTCTGCCCAAGGCCCGGAGTGGGAGCTGCCGGCCCAGCACACTGTGGCCACTCTCCAGGCCAAGTCCTTACTCCGCTGCCCCCGCCCTGTCGCATGGCCTGTGCCTCTCGTCCTAAGTCGTGTTACTGCCTGTTTGCCTTTGGTATGACTGTGCTTGATGACAATGACCTTCTTAGCTCTCGTGTCCCTCCTCCCTCAGCAGTTGACCAAGCTCCACCAGCTGGCCATGCAGCAAACCCCCTTTCCTCCCCTCGGACAGACCAACCCCGCTTTCCCTGGTACGTACCCAGCGCCCTCTCTCCCCCTCCTCCTCCCGGGATGTTCTCTGCCGAGCTGCGCAGTGGACATGGGCGGCCAGGTCTGGCCAGGGGCTGCACAGGGAGGCGCCCCCAGGGCCAGCCCGTAGGCCTGTGCTTCCTACTGCTTGCCAGCCCACCCTGCGTGCTCCTCTCCGGAGTGCGGCCCCTGGGACAGCCAGTCCAGGCTCTGTCGCCCCCTCTGGGCTCTGGGGCGGGCGACCCGGCTCGTGCAGATTTTGAGCTTCTGGGTGCCCGTCCTATTTGGAGCCCCCCAGTTGAAGTGAACTTGCTTCTCTCCTTGAGGGCAAACCTTACATCTGTGTCTTCTTTGCTCTCCAGGAGAAAAGCTGCCTTTGCACTCCTCGGAAGAAGCTCAAAATCTGATGGGCCAGTCGTCAGGTAAAACACCCCACCGCAGCGGGCCCTGCGTGCTGGGAAGGAGGCCGTATTCATGCCAGTGCTGCTGGGACTGCGGGGAGTCTGGCCAGGCCCTGTCAGGGGCATCTGTGTTGTCCTCTATCTCCTGCGGCCATGGCCTGTGAGCCTGTGTCAGTGCCCCCCCCCCCCCCCGTCCCAGCATGAGCTCCTGGGAATGTCTTTCTCAGTGGACAGCGGTAGTGACATGAAGAGACCTCTGAGGGCTGTTGAGTTCCTAAGAGGGGCAGATGGGGAAGGTGTAGCCCATAGCCAGGATGTGGACTCAGGGTAAGCTATAGGGCCAGCATGGCCACTCTGGCCCCAGAAGCTATGGGAGCCTGCTGTCTGCGCAGGACTCTCGTCCCCACAGAGGGGTCTGGTCCCCTCAGAGGAGTCTTCATCCCCTCAGAGGAGCCTGAACCCCTTAGAGGTACCTGATTCCCTCAGAGGAGCCTGCTCCTCTCACAGATGCCTGGGCTCTCAGAGGAGCCTGATTCCCTCAGGAGAGCCTGCTCTCCTCAGAGGAGCCTGGTCTCTCAGAGGAGTCTAATTCCCTCAGTGGAGCTTGGTCTGCACACAAGAGTTTTATCCCGAGTCTTGTCCTCGCAGAGGAGCCAATTCCCTGGGAGCTCTCTCTCTCGGGGCACAGTGCAGAGGAATGTTGAAGTGTTGGCTGTACCAGCCATGTTTGCCACTGAGGCACGTGCAAGTCCCCACCCACCCCCACAGGCTATGCCTGCCCAGGTTCAGCTCCCTGGGGTCTCTTGAGTCCCATCAGTGTTGGGTGTTGTGAATGCAAAGTTGAGAACATTTGAGACTGTTCTTCCTGATTGGGAGGGACCTCTCCCAGAGGTCCCCCAGTGTGCTGCTTTGGGTCGTTCCCCCTTACAAGTCTCCTGGGATAACTGGGCCCCTGCCGTGCCCATGCTCCCCCGCCTCAGACCACCAGCTCTCATTGGGAGTTCCCAAAACATGCTCCCCGGGCACCCTCTGCTGGCGTGGGGTTTGTGTAGCCTGTTGGAGAGAAGGCCCAGAACTCAGGGTTCAGCCTGAGCCTGCTCCTGTGCCCAGCTCCCACAGCCCTCTGGGCCACTCCTGGGAACCTGAACTTGCAGGTTGGGGCCCGCTGGGCTGTGTGACACCTGCACTGAGCTGGGGTCAGAAAGGAAGGAGCCTGGGTGGGATGAGGGCTCAAGCTCTGGAGTGATGTGAAGGTGGGCGAAATGTGGAGGCAGTGGGGCTCTAGACTTCTGGCTTGTGGGTTGGGATTCTGCCTGTCCTGGTCAGGGTCCTGAGACCACAAGGGGGGCATGGAATCTGGGCCCGCCTGGACCTGCGCCACTGCTCCCATGGGCCCCCAACCTCCTGGTGGTCTGTAGGGGGAGTCGGACTCTGACCAGAGAGCTGGCAGATGGCAGAGGAGGAGCACTGCTGGGTGTGGGGGCACACAGGGACTGAAGGGGCCCAGCAGAATGAGGGTACACCCTGCTTCTGGCGTCCTCTCCATGCCAGAGGCAGTTGCCATTGGGGCACTCACAAGCCCCCTGGGAAGGGCTGGAAGTGGGTGAGACCCATCTAACACACCTGTTCTGTGCCCAGGTCTGGACGCCAGCCCCCCGGCCAGCACCCACGAACTCACCATCCCCAATGATGTGAGTATGGCCACCCCATGGGCCCTCCAGCCAGGGCTTAGCTCCACGATTCCACTAGGTGCTTGTCCTCCAAGTGTGGACAGGGGAGGGTCAGATGCCTGCCAGTTCCTGGTCTAGGTGCCCAGTGACTGAAGTGACTGAAGGCTGAAACGCACTGGCCTGACTGGGGTGGGCGCAGGCCTCAGTAGAGCCATTTTGTGTGACAGGAGCAGTTAGCTTGGGTCAGGGGCCTCACCCTCAGAATGTTCCCCCAGCCCCAAGTGTCCAGAACGGATGCCTTGCTTGAGGAGGAACCCTCTGCCCGGGGCACTCTGGGTGATGGCAGAAGGAACAGAAAGATGAGAGAGGGGAGCGGCTACCGGCATAACCCAGGCTCTACTTGGCCCAGACTGTAGGGCAGGGAGGCAGCCTGGTGGGCTGCATCCCTCTGCCATTCTGCTCCTATCATCTGCTCACCTGGCCCTTGCCAGAGGAGCTCTGGGGGTCTAGGGTGGGGTTGGCTGACTTCATGGCCTGGTCGGGTGACTGGGGACTAGGAAGGGGCAGAGCTGAGCTGAGGGTGGCCTGAGGAGCATGAACTGGCGGGAGGGTGGGGAGCCCACAGGCCGACCCCGCCTCTCCTTCCTACTTCCAGCTGATCGGCTGCATCATTGGCCGCCAGGGGACCAAAATCAACGAGATCCGGCAGATGTCTGGGGCGCAGATCAAGATCGCCAATGCCACCGAGGGCTCTTCTGAGCGACAGATCACCATCACCGGGAGCCCGGCCAACATCAGCCTGGCCCAGTACCTCATCAACGCCAGGTCAGCCGGGGCCTGTCCAGGGAGGGCGCACAGTAGACGCAAACCGGGCACACACGGGCTGGACTGTCAGACCACACGTGGGCAGGCATGGAGGGGCTCCCCGGGGCACTGTGGCAGAGCGTCCACACCCAGACGCTCCCCCTGGCACCCTGTCTTTCAGGCTGACGTCTGAGGTCACTGGGATGGGCTCCCTCTAACCGGCCCTGCGTCCCAGGACCCACAGACAGACATGCCCTCATCACCGGTAGAAATGCAGGCTCCCTGTGACAGGAGGCATCTGCCATAGAGACAGCAGCGAGGTCCGTCTGTCCATCTGTCCGTCTGCTCCAGGCTCCCTTCCGCTCCTCCCATCATGCTTTCGTCTCCGCATCGGCATGTCCTTGTGTCTGCGCTTTGGGCCTCCCACTTGGCGTGTAGACGTGTCCCAGCCTCAGTGCTCGCTGTAGGAGGGGGTTGACACGTCCAGAGCCTGCCATGAGCCCCCCTCTGCCCCTCCTACCAACTTGGTGTGCCCTGGCAGCGGGTGCACCTGGCCCAGGATTCAGGGGAGGGCGCTGAATGTCCCAGCTCACCGGGATGTGGGTGCAGGGAGGGCTGGGTAGAGAGCTGGGGGCGGGATGTGCCCTGCCCCCATACAGCTCAATAAATGTTGTGCGCTGCCCCCGCCGACTCTGGCTGCTCTGTCACCGTCACCTGCGCGAGTGCCATCCTGTGCACATATACACTCAATGCACACACAGCTCTTAGTGAATACATGTTCTCACTGCACACTACATACACACTCCCTCATTGCACACATATGCTCTCACTGCACACATGGTCTAACTGCACACATGGTCTAACTGCACTCACATTGTACATACTACACACACCCTTTCTCACTGCACATACCCCCTTTCACTGTATACACATGCCCTCACTCTGAACACTCACTCACTCCACATACTTGCTCTCACTCTGCACACCTGCTCTCAATGTACACACCCTCGTTCTCACTCCACACATTCACTTGCACTGAACATACCGACAAAGGAATGCCTGGAAGTGTGGCATCACCTTGCTGGAAGGCTAACAGGACCCCCAAGTGTCCATGGAGGGTCCAGGCCACACCCTTCCAGCTGAGGTGTGCCAGCCCCCTGGCATGGCTGATGCAGACAAGCAGGCTTTAGGAAGAGAGCATGCAGCAGGGGCAGGACACAAGGTGCCCCCCATGTCACCAGGTACACAGGACCCCAGTGAGGGACGTGAGGGACCCACACTCCAGTTGGAGTCCTGAAGCAGCCGTGAGCAGCTGCCACCATCCATAGGAAGTGCAGGGGGCTCCAGGCGAGGGCTCAAGCTGGGGCAGGGGTCTGGGTGCTCTTGTCCTGGTCTCACCTTGGGGTGCCCTGCCAGGGCCTCTTCCATGTCTTCACCAGCACCAGACCTTAGTGCAGGGCCAGGTTACCTGGGCCATTCTGGGGTTGGATTTTCTCGTCACCATGCCCTGCTTCTGACAGCATCTGCCAAGGTGGTTTCAGAGTGAACACAGGGCCGTGGCCGTTGAGCCTCAGGTACCTGGAGACCAGCCTGATCACCGTGGAGTGATGTGGGAGGTGATGGGGGCTGGGGAGGTGATGAGGTGGGGAGGTAACTGTGGCTATGGGGAGGTGACGGAGGGTTTGTGGGGATATTACAGGAGGCTGGCTGTGAGAAGGAGATGGGGTCTGTGAGGAGGTGATGGCTGTGGGAGGTTATGGGTCTGTGGGAAGGAGACAGGAGGGGTTGTGGGGAGGTGACATGAGGGGTATAGTGGGGAAGTGACAGGGTCTGTAGGGAGGTAATGAGGTTGTTGGGAGATAATGGGACTGTGGGAGGTAATGAGGCTGTGGGAGGTGAAGGGGCTCTGGAGAGGTGATGGGGCTCTGGAGAGGTGATGGGGCTGTGGGGAGGTGATGAGGCTGTGAGGAGATGATGGGGCTGTGGGGAGGTGGTGGAGGCTGTGGGGAGGTGATGGGGGTTGTGGGGAGGTGGTGGGGCTGTGGGGAGGTGATGAGGCTGTGGGGAGATGATGGGGCTGTGGGGAGGTGATGGGGCTGTGGGGAGGTGATGGCGGCTGTGGGAAGGTGATGGGGGCTGTGGGGAGATGATGGAGCTGTGGGAGATGATGGGACTCTAGGCTGGTGATGGGCTGTGGGGAGATGATAGGGATTGGGAAGTGACAGGCTGTGTGGGTGTGAATGGAGGGGGTGCACACAAACCATCAGGTGACTTTCAGTTCTGCCCCAAGGATGATGGGGAGTCAGGGGCGGCAGGTGGCCTAGGACCCTTTCCACTGCTTCCTGGCTTGTGTCCGACCCCCAGAGTCCCGAGAGGAGCCGGGCTCTCAGGGGTCATTCAATGCCTTAATCAGATGAGCCAGGCCAGGAAGTATAGGTCGGGGGTGCTGTCAGATGCCCCTGGGAACCTCATGCCCTTCTGGGTCTGACCGGGTCCACTCTGTAGGCTGGAGGTGAGGGCAGGGAGAGCAGGGGAAGGTACCACATCATTGGGGCGAGAACTCACCCTGCTGATTCAGGGGGACACAGGGCACTGCCCCTGAGACAGCCCTGGGAACAGCCTGAGACCTGCGTGTCTTCTCCCTGATGGGCAGCAGAGGTCACCCTGGCCTCGGGGTGCTGAGAGTCCGGCTTTGTCTTGAGGCTGTGGAGTGAGGAATGGTGAGTGCCTCCTGCAGGCTGGACCCCTTGTGTGGGCCCTTAAGGGAGAGCTGGTGCTTCATAGCCCCGAACCCAGGCAGAACACGATTCCCCTCAGACTCAGACCCAACTGGCCCCATACAAGCCCCCAGATCAATGGGGGGACTCTGGGGACAACTGGTCCACACCCCCTCCCTGCTCCTCAGGCAGGCACAGGTCCTGAACCCCGTGTTCTCTGGCATGTTCCCCACGCCTTCCCTACCCAGGGACTCCAAGTTTCCCACAGGGCAAGGCTCAGGTTCCTGGGTGTTGGAGCACAGGAATCGGGTGGGGAGAAGCTGCCTCTGGGAACCTAGAGGCCTCACTCTGTGGCTTGGTGATGGGAGGGGCATCCTGGGGCACCGCATCCCCCAGCTTGCTGTAGCCAAGGACCCCAGAGACCCCCCAGACTGGCTGCTGGGAACGCTGGGTGCAGGAAGGACCAGTTGGGGAGTCGCGGCCAGGCCACCAGGGAAGGCCCCTCCCCCGCATTCCCGAGCCCCTGGCTCCCATCCATGTGGGACAGACTCAGAACATCTGCAACCCAGATGTTCCTCAATGGGGAGCAGACAAGTTAACCCCTGCCGCTCCGAAGCTCTGTGTCAGAGTGGGGGACGACCCTGTGCTCTGGGACGTGGAGGGCCCCCTGCCCCCATAGCTTGTGCCCTCACCCAGTGGGGCCCCCTCACACAGGCTCCCTGCCAGTCGGGTCCCCACATCCTCTCCAGCCCCACTACCCCTGATGCTCTTGCCCCTTGAGTTAATTCCAGGCCTGTCCTGGGCACCTCCAGGCACACTGGGGTTCCCTGGGTGGCCCCTGCAGAGCCAGAAGACGCCTCATTCCCCTGGGGCCCCCGAGACCACCCTGTAAGGAGCCTTCCTCCTTGGGGTGGGTGACAAGCTCCATACCTGTGTCCCAGGCTCATGGGTCCCCGTGCCCTCCACATCTAGCAAGAACTATTAGGGCACAGAGTAGCACTGGAGGCAGTGGGAGGTCACGAGGGGGCCCGGGTGATGGGGGGACATGTTGGGAGACAGTAGCATCTCTGCATTGTTGGGCTGTTTGGGGGCCCCTGGGTGTCTCTTCTGGTACTGGTGATTCAGGGGAAGGAACAGGGCCCCTTAGCTGTCCAAGGCACACAGACAAGCACCATTTCACAGGCCTGACCCATAGAGGGTGACAGGAAGCGGGGAGGAAGGGACCCTCCAGCCACCCCCCGCCCCCCGTCTGGCCCCATGTGTGTCTGCGTGACTACATGGCACCTGAGGCCAGAGGACCCAGGCAAGGACAGGAAAAGGGGGACCCCCAGGCAGGATGGGTGGGAGCAAGTTAGGGGGACCCCGGGGCGGGGGGGCGGGGGGCAGGGGAGATAGGGGCTAGTGTAGCAGGGTCAGAGTGGGGGCCCAGGGGAGGGGTCAGGATGCAGGTCAGGCTGGGGCCTCAGGTGGTGGGTCTGGGCAGGGGAGTCGTATTCGAGAGATTGGAGCCGCCCCTTCTCTTCCCTGTCTATGGCACCCCCAGGGAAGCCAGAGCAGCCTGGAAACTTTTGCTGATGAATCATGTTCTAAGTTGGGAGGAAAATTCCTCCATCCTGGAGGCATTAAAAAGAAATCAAAAAGGGTTTTGTTGGACGAGGGCAGGGCCTGGGCCTTTGGTGTGTACAAATGGAGGCACTCCAGCCCCCACACCCAGGCCGGCTGGTTTCCAGGACGGAAACGCCACAGTCGTCCACAGACCCCACAGCCCCCCACCCCGTCTGCATTGGCCTGGCCCCCTCAGCCTCCCTCCCTGGAGGCCCAGCCTCTGGGAACTGGGAAAGAAGCTTCTGGAATGGGCTCACCCCCACTTTCCTCTGTGGGTGGGACCGCCTGCCTGCTGGCATGGCCACCCCCTTCTCGTCCAGCATATTCTGAGCTGTGGGGGCAGGGGCTGCCCATGGCCAGGGCCCGTGTCCACATCAGTTTCCCCATCTGCCCACCAGAAGTTTGAGTCTAGGGGGGCTTGCAGCAGCCCCCTCCACTGCAGGCTTCCCGAAAATGGCCTCAAAGTCGGGGGCTGGGTGGAGTCTGTGCAGGGGGCGCTGTGGCTCCACGAAGGGCTGTGCCACACAAAGACCTGTTTCCAGAACCTTCTTCCAGCTCCGCGGGGAGGAGGGGGGCCGTGTGCAACCCCTTGCCCTTCTCCAGTCTCTCCCAGCGACAGGGATGTTTGGGGGTACTCAGTCCCTGAGGGGGCAGTCTCCTGTGGGCACCCAGGGGAGCACACGTGCACACACAGACCCACGGACACACACGTTACAGACACATATTCCCCACTCAGAGACACAGACACGCAGACACACATGCACACATAGACACATGAGTGTACAACCCCTACACAGTCATGTGCACACACACGTGCACATACAGACATATGTGTATACATAGACACACATGCATACAGAGACCCACAGTCACACAAATCACAGACACACATCCCCACACTCGGACACACAGTAGCACAGAGAGACACGGCACAAGTGCATACACTCTCACACAGACACTAATACAGGTACATACACATTTGTGCATACACAGACCCACAGTCACAAATCACACACATTCCCCACACTCAGAGACATACATTAACACATAGAGGCACACATAGACACATGCACACACACACACTCACATGAAACACAAATCACAGACACACATGCACAGACATACAGTCATACAGACATACACTCAGATATACACAATAACACACAGAGATACACACAGACACACAGATACTCACAGTCTCACTTGGACAGGACACATATAGACATGTACAGACACAGATACACAGACACACAGAGTCACTCACATCTGGGCATTCACAGACAGATACATGTGTACACAAACATGCATAGACATTCATACACATAGACATGCACAGACACACATGCACACACAGACATGAGGGTAGACAGACACATGCACAGACACACGAACACACAGGCACGCGGGCACACAGACACACCTGCTCATAGACACATGGGCACACAGCATACACAGACACATGCAGACACTCGACTCCCCTGAACTAGCAGCTGCCCAAAGGGCCCATGGGGTCAGGGGTTCTCGCTCACACCCCCACCTGCAGCAGCTCAGAAGACCCCGGGGCCCCTGCAGCCCCTCCTGGGTTCCTAGGTACTTCAGGATCCCGGTGACAGGGAGCAGGAGACACACTGGGCAGAGTTCTGGCCCCCAAGAACCTCTGGCAGACCCCCCACCCAGACCCACTGCACCTTGAGGCTGAGGCCTGGCAGGTTCCACCTGCACCAGGCTGAGGGGGCAGTGCCCTGCATTGCCACTGAAGAGGGGGCAACAGTGTGGGCATGGATGCATCCAAGGGGACCCTGCCCCCTGAGACACCCACTATGGACATCAGGGCCAGCTTGTGCCCACCTGCAGCCTTCAGCTCCCCCTGGCTCAGACCCTTCTATTTTGCAAGGCTCAGGGTCCCCAGGGCCAAGCTCGGTCAGGGCTGGGCCCTTTAGTAGCCCTAGCCTGGGGATGGGGTGCAGTGCCCCTCCTTTCTCTGGGCCGTGTTTGAAGCTACGAGATCTGCACGCGTCAGATGTTGTGGGGCCTCCTGCCACCTCTTCTGGGATGGAGTGGGTCTGGCCACATATGGCCATGGCAGGGAGGAGCGGTCGTCCCTTGCTGCTTAGATGCGGGACCCATGGGTATGCACACATCTATCCCTGTGACAAAGGGACGTGTCTGCCTGAGCCTGGGGCCCAGGGCACAGCACCCCACCGCCCTCAGGGCAGGAGTGTGGCTGCACCCCGTCATGGACCTCAGACCCTGTCCCCAAATCCCAGGAGGAGACAGACCTCTAGGCTGCAGCTCCTGTTCCTTCCCCAGTGAGTCAGCAAGACCCTGGAGATGGGGGGCCCTGACCAGCTTCCCTACTGCCCCACCCTCCTGGGCTGCTCCTCCTCCTGCTCCTCCTCCTGCTCCTCCTCTTGCTCCTCCTCCTCTTCCTCCGGCTCGGCTGGCCCACAGACACTCCCGGGGACACGCAGCCTAGCGCAGACATGAGGCTGGTCCGTGCGCTGCTGCTGCTGGCCGGCTGGGCCTCGGCGCAGGACAGGCCCAAGTCTGTGGCCTTCCAGGGTAAGTGCTGGCCATGGGCAGACCCAGGGCCACTCTCGGCTCCCCAGTTCCCAGTTTGAGAGCATGGGGTGGGGGGCGGGGGGGTGCACAGGGTCCCTGGGCTCCTGCCGGCTCACACTTCTTGAGAGCACAGTGGGGGGGACCGGACCCCAGCACCCCTCATACTCCCTCCTCCGTCCCTCCATCTCCTGTCCTGTGACCTTTCCGCATGCCGTTGGGGAGTGTGGGGGTCGTTGGGGAGTGTGGGGGTCGTTGGGGAGTATGAGCTGCACAGGCCCCACCCAGTGAGGGGGACTGGGAAGACCCTCCCTGTGAGGCTGCGGCTGAGCTGGGCTGGACCATGGCACTGGGCATTCCGTCTCTGCAGACTGCCCCGTCGACCTGTTCTTTGTGCTGGACACATCCGAGAGTGTGGCCTTGAGGCTGAAGCCCTATGGGGCTCTGGTGGACAAGGTCAAGGACTTCACCAAGCGCTTTGTGGACAACCTGAGGGACAGGTGGGCCGCGCATGGGGCCAGGGCATGCGGGGCCAGCACTCGGGGCCCCAGACCACATAATCACAGAGCTGGCCTGAGGCCATGGCCCCATCAATGCTGCCCTCTCTCCAAGTGCAGCCACACTTCCCCCCTGCATGCTGTGTCCCTCTGCTGTCTCACCTGGATGGGATGTGGGCACAGCCACACATGCCCATGGCATAGGAAACCACACAGAGCTGCCCCACGCCCTGCTCCTTGTCCACCCTCCCCCTCCCTCTCCTACCAGGCCCTCCCCATGCCCCTCCCTCACCCGATCCTTCCTCCCTCACCCTTGTCCCCTCCTCCATGCGCCCCCCCCAGTCTCATCCCCTTAACTCCCCCACCCCCATTCCCTGGACCAGGTATGGCCCTCAGAGCCTCCCCTAGGTCACTGGAGACCCCCTCCTGGCTTGGCCTCCCTTGCCGGATGTCCCTGGATACTTGGTCTCAGCCCCTCTGTGCCGCAGGTACTACCGGTGTGACCGTAACCTGGTGTGGAACGCAGGGGCGCTGCACTACAGTGATGAGGTGGAGATCGTCCAGGCCCTCAGCCCCATGCCCCGCAGCCGGGACATGCTCAAGAGCAACGTGGACGCCATCAAGTACTTCGGCAAAGGCACTTATACCGACTGTGCCATCAAGAAGGGGCTGGAGGAGCTGCTGGTGGGGTGAGCCCTAACCCCTGGCCCACGACCCATTGACCTCCCTCAACTTCCCCATTCACAGTGTCACTCAGGGGCCCTCCAAGGGCCACTATCTACTGCGGAAGGCAGACACTGCCCATCAGCTGTGGGGCCCACTGCTCCCCTGTATCAGACATGGAGACAGAGACACAGAGACAGATGGGGGACAGACACAGACACAGGGATAGGGACACAGACAGACACAGGGACAGACATGGGGACAGATAAGGGGAGAGATACACGGACAGATAGACACAGGTATAGGCCCAGAGAGACAAAGACAGAGACAGATGGGACAGACACAGGGACAGACATGGGAGCTGGGAGACAGGCTCCAGCCAGTGGCCCAGACTCAGGGCTTCAGTGTGAGGGGTGGTGAGCGGCAGGCCCGAGGCGCTCGCTGTGGGCCAAGGGTGCAGTTTTGGGTCCCCCGCCTATGGGGACCCTCCGCAGGCATCAGTGTTGGGGCCCCCACGGCCTGGCCATCTGAATGGGGCATCTGCAGGGGCTCCCACCTGAAAGAGAACAAGTACCTCATCGTGGTGACTGATGGGCACCCGCTGGAGGGCTACAAGGAGCCGTGCGGAGGGCTGGAGGATGCCGTCAACGAGGCCAAACACCTGGGCGTCAAAGTCTTCTCCGTGGCCATCACGCCTGACCACCTGGTAGGTGCCCTCCGGGGGGCGGCCCACCACCCCAGCCGCCCTCGGGGCCTCCTCATGGCCCCTCACTGTCCGCTCACGGCCTGTCCCCCAGGAGCCCCGTCTGAGCATCATCGCCAGTGACCACACGTACCGGCGTAACTTCACGGCTGCCGACTGGGGCCAGAGTCGGGACGCCGAGGTGGCCATCACCCAGACAATCAGCACCATCACGGAAATGATCGTGAGTGCACCTGCCCCAGCCCACAGCCCCCCGCCCCCCTGTCCAGCCCGGCCACAGCTAACCCACTTCTCCCCCTTTCCAGAAAGACAACGTGGAGCAAGTGGTGAGTCCACTCTGCACAGCACCCCCACCCCTGCACCCCTGCCCCACAGCCCTACCTGCACCCCTCTACTGCACCCCTCCCTACACCCCTCCCCTACACCCACCCCCTACACCCATACCCCACCCCCTCCCCTGCACTGCACTTCTCCCCGCACTCCTCCCCACAGCTCTACCCAAACCCCTCCCCTACACCCATCCCCACACCCCTCCCCTACACCCCTCCTCCGCACCCCTCCCTTATACCACCTCACCTGCACTCACCTCCCCTGATCCCCTCCCCTGATTCCCTCCCTACACCCACCTCCTCTGCACCCCTCCCCTCTACCTCTCCTCTGCACTCACCTCTCCCTACCCTACTCTGCACTGTACCCCCTTCCTGTGCACCCTATCTCCCCCCCTGCCCTATCTCCCCGCGCCTGCCCTCAGAGCAGGCTGGTGGGTACCGCCTCTGCTCACACCCTGTCCTCATTCCCCACAGTGCTGCTCCTACGAGTGCCAGGTAAGCGCCACACCCCACCCCACTGACCGTCCCCCATCCCGTGACCCACCCCCTGCCACCCACCCCTCCACTGACAACCCACCTTTCCTGCAGCCTGCCAGAGGACCCCTTGGGCCGCAGGGCGACCCTGGCTATGAGGTGAGTCTGGGACCTGCACCCCCGTGGAAGAGGAGCGCCCAGGCGCAGTCCCCGGCCTGGAGGGGTGGGCAAGGGCTGCCTGGAGCTGAGTTTGCACCCACCACCTCCCGGGGCGTCCTGGCCTCTCTCAGCCCCTAACCTGACCTTCCATTCCAGGGCGAGCGAGGGAAACCAGGACTTCCAGGAGAGAAAGGAGAAGCTGGAGACCCCGTGAGTGGGGGTGTCCGATGGGGGGTTGGGGAAGGGGTGGCTGAAACTTCTAGAAGGATCCTGATCTCTGCCCACTGAGTTATGTGATGACCTCAGAGGACAAGGCCCTGTGGGCACCTGCATCAGTCACAGGCCGCCCCGAGGCTGGCTGGAGCCCCTGACCTCCTTTCTTTTCCAGGGGCGACCCGGGGACCTCGGACCCGTCGGCTACCAGGGGATGAAGGTACGTGTCCGTGTCCGCTTCCCCGCATCCTTGCTGCCCTACTCATGGCCTAGTCTGACGCCCGCGTCTGTCTGTGCAGGGAGAGAAAGGAGTTCGTGGGGAGAAGGTGAGCGAGGCAGCACCAGCACCCACCAGGAGGACCGACACCTGCGTGTGCCCACGAAGGCTCAAGGACACTGGCCCTGACCCTCAGACCCCTCAGGACCCCCAGCCATGTCTAGCCTGCTGTTGGGGGCTGACCCCCATCACAGGTGCCCCGGGAGGAGGCGGGGATTCTGGGGGACTTGGAAATGGGCGCCCCTCACTCAACCTCCTCCTGTCCACAGGGCTCCCGGGGACCCAAGGGCTACAAGGTAAGTGTGGCCGCTGAGGAGAGGCGGGCTGCTTGAGGGCGGCTGACCCTGTGGCCCCGACCTCTGACCCCCAACCTCTGACCTCCTGCTGTTTCACAGGGTGAGAAGGGCAAGCGCGGCGTGGATGGCGTGGACGGCATGAAGGTGAAACCTGAGGACGTGGCAGAGGCATCTGTGGAGGGTGGGTCAGAAGCCCCAGAGCTTGACTTGGGCCCCCTTCTGTCTTGTAGGGAGAGATGGGGTTCCCTGGCCTGCCCGGCTGCAAGGGCGCCCCTGGATTTGATGTGAGTGACCTCTGACATCAGCCCTGGGGGTGCTGGGCGGGTGCAAACCAGCGGGCCTATGATGGGGGGCATTGGGTGGGGTGTGGCCCCCCTGACCTCTGCACCCCTCCAGGGTCTCCAAGGCCCCCCTGGGCCCAAGGGTGACGCTGGTGCCTTCGGACCGAAAGGGCACAAGGTCAGTGTGGGACAGCACAGCCTGTGACTCCAGGGATAGCACAGGGGGCACAGGGCCGTGGGGTGGGCCGCAGGGGTCCTGGGACACAGGGGGCCATGGGAGAGGTGGGCTCAGGGGCAAACCTGTCCCTGAGGGTGGTGGGGGTTGGCCTTGCTGTGCCAGGGTGGGGGTTCCAGAAACTTGAGGTCTCACACCACTGAGCCTGATCTTTATCTGACCTTTGGGGCTTTGCAGGGTGAACCCGGAGCTGATGGGGCACCCGGGAGACCGGGGAGCATGGGTGCCCCTGGGGACGAGGTGAGCAGAGGGGCTGGTGGGGGCGGGAGGCCGAGGGACTGTACCCACAGCTCATGCTCCTCCTCTCCCCAGGGCGAGCCGGGCCAGCCGGGGCCTCCTGGAGAGAAGGGGGAGGCCGGAGACGAGGTGAGCCACTGCCCACCTGCCCCCCACCCTCGCAGGTGCCCCTAGACTCACCCGCTTCTTCCTCCCCCAGGGCAATCCGGGCCCAGATGGTGCACCCGGGGACAGGGTGAGTCATGTGAGCCGGTGGTGGGCTGGCTGGGGTCCCACCTGGCTGCGGCCTCACCCCCTTCTCCCCACAGGGCGGCCCCGGGGAGCGTGGCCCCCAGGGGACTCCTGGCGTGCGGGGCCCCAGAGGAGACCCGGTGAGTGGGGCCAGCGCGGGCAGCCTGGGCTCACACAGGGGCTGGGGGTGCCCTGGAGCCGCCTTAGCCACGGGCTAAGGCATGCCGGGACCCAGAGTCCTCACCTCATTCCTGGATCCCCGGACCCCCGCGCGGGTGGGGCCAAGTGCAGACCAGGGTGCACTGCAGGCCCCCAGCTGGGGGCTGGAGAAACTGCAGCCCTCCCCACTGACTCCCACTTGCTCCTCTCCAGGGTGAAGCTGGACCTCAAGGGGACCAGGGACGAGAAGGCCCCGTCGGCGTCCCGGGGGACCCGGTAGGGCCCAGCATGGGGCAGGATGGATGGGGCTGGGGGCAAGTCAGGCTCAGAACAGGTGTGCTCCCTGGGCCCATCGGTGGCTGGAGAGGCCACAGGTCATGTTCTGCTCATCCCACCCCCCACAGGGCCTGCTGGGAACCATCAGGTTCCTGACCTGAGACCACAGCCCCCTGCCCTGCTTTCCCCAGGGCCAGCAAAACCCTGGGAGCCCTGGGTAGAGCCGGGGTGCGGGCAACACATGGGCCCACGGGGCAGCGGCCGGGTCAGGACAATGCTAGCCTGGGTGCTGACAACCTCAGTTCACAGAACAGGATGCAAGGGAGGGTGTGCAAATGTGTGCACGTGTGATTATGCATGTATGCACATGCATGTGTGCTGTGTAAGTCTGTGATGTGAATATCTATGTGTTGTGCATGTGCATGTGTGCTTGTATGTGAGTATCCATGAGTGTCCATGTCTTTATTTGATATGAAGTAGGTGGGATGTGTGGGTATGTAGATGTGTCATGTGCATATATGTACATATGTGAGTATATAGGATATATGTGGTCTGCGTGTCTATAATTGCATATGTGTATGTGTGTGCACAGTATACTGTTTTCAGGAGCATGTATCTCCATGCATGCGTATGTTTTCATGTATGTGTTTCTGTGTTGCCCTGTGCCCATGTGTAGGTATGTGTCTGTGTAGGCATGTTCATGTATGTATACAGTGTCCAGGTGAGAGCAGGCAGGCATGCATATATGTGAAAGCACTGCGCGGTTTCATGTATGTGTTGGGTGGGTATGTATTGTGCAGATGTGTTCATATGTGTAAGGCTCTAGCAGGGAATGACAGGCCCAGGGCAGGCTTCCTCCTCCCTTGGCCGGCTCAGGAGGCGGGAGAAACCTACATGTGTGTCTGTTTCTGCAGGGTGAGGCCGGTCCCATTGGACCAAAAGGGTACCGAGGTGACGAGGGGCCCCCGGGGTCCGAGGTGAGTCCCTCCCAGGAGGCTCCCTGGCTCTCCTCTCCTCCACCCCACCCCCCAGCTCTAGCCCAACACTTGCCTTGTGGCACCAGCTTCTCTGTGGCTGAAACTTCAGGACAACTTGGGAAACATGGTTCAGGCAGAGCAAGGACTGAGCTAGCCTGAGAGACACTGCAAGGAAGGTCTGTGGCCTGGGCCTTTCTTACCAGGGTGATTCTAGGCCTAGCGCCTGACCCAGGGGACTGGTCCTTGTGCAGGCCACTTGGGGCACCACACTCGCAGGCCCAGTTCTGTCATCTGCACTAGCACCAGCTCAGGCTCCCAGACCCTCCCGTGCAGGGGTGCAGCATGTGCAAGGCCTCAAGTTCAGTGCCTGGCGCCACTGTGAGTGCCCCTATGAACAGCTCACTTGGAACCCAAGTGTCCCTGCTGATGCCCATAGCCATACCTTTTGGTCAAGCTCCCAGAGCCGGCAGGGCTCTCCTCTGCATGGTCTCGGCTCTGTTCTCGTGACTCGGCTCTCATGGCTCTGCTCTCCTGGCTCTGCTCTGCGTAGACTCAGCGCTGCATGAGGTTCTGACCACAGGGTGACTTCCTGCTCCAAACCTCTCCTCTCCTCTGCAGGGTCCCAAAGGTGCTCCAGGGCCCGTAGGACCCCCTGGAGACCCCGGGCTGATGGGAGAGAGGGTGAGTGTGGCCTGGTCCTGAGGGATTGTGGGTCTGATGCCCAGGGGTTCTCCCTGCACCATCCCCCACCTGGGGTGCCCTCCCTGCCCCTCCCTCTTGGGAGGATGCCCCCCGGGCACCCTATCTGGCATCTGGGCATCCCAGTGACAGACTTGACCTATCCCCAGGGTGAAGATGGGCCCCCCGGAAATGGCACGGAAGGCTTCCCCGGATTCCCGGTGAGTGTCCCAGACCCCTCTTCTGCCCACTGAGCACATGAGCAGAGGGTCGGACCCAAGACCTCAGGATGCCCAGGACTAGGGGTGAGACCCCCCACAGGGCTTGGGTGACCATTCCGCCTTCTTCCTGCAGGGGTATCCAGGCAACAGGGGCCCACCCGGGATCAACGTAAGTAACTGCCCACTGCCCTGCCCTCTCCAACCTCTGCACATGCATGATCACACATGCACATGCTCGCTGCAGTATATGCATACTCACACGTGCACACACATTCACTACAGCACACACATGGTCACAGACATAAACACACACATGCACTTGCTGCAGCACACACAGCTCACATGTGCACATGCACTCACTGCAGCACACATGCTCACAGACACAAATGTCACACACATGCACATTCTCACAGAAAAGCACACTCACACATGTGCACACACTTTGAATATACTCACATGTAATACATAGCCTGCACACATATCTACATGAACACAATCACACATGTGCAGATCCTCACATGCATATATGCATATGCACACATATACTCATGTCTGTAAGCTTGTGCCCATACATATGCACTAGCATTCATATGTCCATACCTGAACACATGTTTATACATACATGCAGTGCACACATAAAGATTCATGCATACACCAACACGTATGCATGCACATGCATCCACGCTTACATGTATACTCAGTTGCATATGTGCATATATCCACATGTAAGCATATATACACAATCATGTGCATGGATTCACATGTGAGCATATATACAGTCATGTGTGTACCCACATGTAAGAGTAAATACACAGTCATATGTTTATATCTACATGTAAGTGTATATAGTCAGGTATGTGCACATCCACATATAAGCATATATATAGTCACATATGTGTGTACCCACATGTAAACATACATAGTTACATGTGTGCTTGTATTCACATGTGAGTGTATATGTGGTCACACATGTGCGTGTGTCCACATGTAAGCATTCATGTATGTGTGTGTATTCATATGTGAGCATATATGCAGGCACAGATGTATGTCCACATTTATGCATAGTCACGTGTGCATGGACCCACATGTATTACTGTATCACTGTCCTCCCGTTGTTCATCGATTTGCTCGAGCGGACCCAGTAACGTTTCCATTGGAGACTTTGTTGTTACTGTGTTTGGCATATCGAATACATCACGGGTGGCTTGCCAGGCTCTCCCGTGCCGGTGAGATACTCTCGGTAGCTTGCCGGGCTCTCCGAGAGGGGCGGAGGAATCGAACTCGGGTCGGCCATGTTGGCTGCGTGGAAGGCAAACGCCCTACCCGCTGTGCTATCACTCCAGCCCCACATGTAATCATATATAAATGGTCACACATGTGCATGAATCCACATGTAAGTGTATATAGCAACACAGGTGTGTGTATGCATATTTAAGTGTATATACACACATCACAAATGTGCATGTATCCACATGTGAGTATATATTAAACAGTCACACATGTGCATGTTTTCTCATGTGATCGTTATATATTCATGTGTGCATATCTACATGTACATGTATATACAATCATGTGTATATCCACATGTAATTATATATAAACAATCACATGTATGCATATACCTATATGTGAGTGTATATACATAGTAATCCATGTACATGTATCCACATGTATGTGTATAAACAGTCAGGTATGTGCGTGTATCACATAAAGATATAGTCACGTGTGCACGTATCTGCATATCATATGTACATAGTAACATGCGTGCATGTATCCACATGTGAGCATATAGGCACAGCTGCACATGCGTCCATGGGTACACGTGTGCAGAGTCACGTGTGTGCCCATTTCTTTACCAAGGGCATTGCAGAGCAGAACGTCCGCACTGGGCAGACCTGCTGCTCCCCTCCCCTTCCTTCTTCCCATGAGCTGTTCAGAGCAGAGAGGGAAGGACAGGCCCGTCCCTGGCACCTACCGGGCCACCATACAGAAAAACCCCCAAGAAAGAGTGACCAGCTTGCTCGGGGGGCAGGTGCCTAGCACCCACTCAGGGTGTGGGCTGTGCTGACCCTGTCCCCTTATCTGCAGGGCACCAAAGGCTACCCCGGCCTCAAGGGGGATGAGGGAGAAGCCGGAGACCCTGGAGACGACGTGAGTGCCAGGCCCACTGGGTCCAGACATATGGGGGGGGAAGGAGGGGCACAGACTCAGCTGACCAGGTGACAGACACTGTCCCCCACAGAACACGGTCCCCCCACCCTCAGGCAGCAAAGGAGCCAAGGGGTATCAGGGTCCCGAAGGCCCCCAGGTGAGTCTGCAGCTGCAGGGCAGAAGGGGTCCTGGTTGGGAGCCGGGCAGGTGGGGCATGCATGTGGCGCTGGCTTGCCCTGGAGACTGGGGGGCTCATCGGGGGGCCCAAGCCTGCACTGGTGGGCTAGAGGCGCCGCTCTCAGCCCCTCCCACTATGCTCCCACAGGGACCCCCAGGACACACCGGACCACCAGGGCCAGATGTAAGTGGGGTGTCTGGGGCTTCCACTATGGGTGGGGCACAAAGGTCAGCGGCCATCTGCTGGTCTTGTGGTCCATTGGGGTCAGTGGCAGCCTCTGGGGCTGTGCAGACAAATCGAGTGCATGAGGGGCAGAGTCACCATGACCTGTGGAGGGGCCCATGGAGGGGCCCGGGACCATAGGGGGCCAGGCACCAGCTCTGCATGTCCCTGCAGGAATGCGAGATCCTGGACATCATCATGAAGATGTGCTGTGAGTCCCCTGCTCCCTGTGCCCTGCCCGGTGGGGTGGCGGGTCTGGGCAGGGCCAGGCTCTGACTGGCCTCCATTTCTTGCAGCCTGCTGTGGTGAGTGCCGCGTCCTTTTGTGAGCGAGCTGGCGTCCAGGGCACTGCAACCTGTGCTGTGGGTGGGGGCTGCTCTGCCCTCTCACAGTGCTCCCCAGGATGGCCGTGTCCCGCTGTGGGTGGGGGCTGCCCTGCCCCTTTCACAGTGCTCTCCGGGATGGTCATGTCCCCCAGAGTGCAGGTGCGGCCCCATCGACGTCCTCTTCGTGGTGGACAGCTCGGAGAGCATCGGTCTGCAGAACTTTGAGATCGCCAAGGACTTTGTCATCAAGGTCATCGACCGGCTGGGCAGGGATGAGCTGGTGGAGGTGAGGACTGGCCGCGCAGGGGCATCATGGCCGGGGAGGGTGGGGTGGGGAACCCCCTGACCAGCGCCTTCCCTACAGTTCGACCCCAAGAAGTCGGTGGTGGGCGTGGTCCAGTACAGCCACAACCAGATGCAGGAGCACGTGGACCTCCGGAGTCCCGGGATCCGCAACATACAGGAGCTGAAGGAGTGAGCCGCCTCAGACCCTCATCAGACCCACCTCTGACCCCGGACCTCTGACCCCATCTCTGACCCACCTCTGACCCTACCCCTGTCCTTTCAACCCCGCAGGGCCATCAAGAAGCTGCAGTGGATGGCAGGGGGCACATTCACGGGTGAGGCGCTACAGTACACCCGGGACCAGCTGCTGCCACCGTCCCCGAACAAGCAGATTGCACTGGTCATCACTGATGGCCGCTCAGACACCGAGCGAGACTCCACCCCCCTCAGCGTCCTCTGCGGCCCCAATGTCCAGGTAGGTCCTGCCCTGCACCACCCCACCCCTGTTCCCATGCCCTGCATCCCCACCCCTGCACCTCCACCCCTGCACTCTCACCCCTACACCCCCCTCCTCCATCCCTGCACCCACACCTATCCTCCCCCTTCCCTGCATCCCCACCTCTCCTCCCCCACCCCTGCACCTCACCCCTACACCCCCACCCATGCACCCCCACCCCTGCATCCTCACCCCTACACACCCACCTCTGCTCTCCCACCCCTGCACCCTCACCCCTGCACCACCACCCCCCTGTGAGGTCTCATGACTACCCTCCTGTCCCCCCAGGTGGTCTCTGTGGGCATCAAGGACCTATTTGGTGCCAACCCAAGCTCTGACCAGCTCAATGCCATCTCGTGCCAAGGCATGGGGCCACAGGGCCGGCCAGGCATCTTGCTGGTGAAGGACAACTATGCAGAGCTGCTGGATGATGCCTTCCTGAAGCAGGTCGCCGCCCACATCTGTGCAGGTGCTGGGCCCTCCCTGGGGACACGGGGCCTGGGCCCAACCGCCTGGGCCCAACCACCTGTGCTGCTCTCAGTGTCCCCCAGAGCCCTGCATCCCCCTGTCTGACCTGCCCCCACCACTTGGTTGCTGTGAGCGCCAGGTGTCACCCTGCCCACCCCCAAGCCTGCCTTGAAGTGGGTCTGTCCACTGGGGGTGGGACTGGGGCAATTGGGGTGGACTTCTGGATGTGGAGTGGCCACGTGCTCTCAGCTCACATCCCTCTCCTCTTCCTCAGACAAGAAGTGTCCAGACTACACGTGCCCAAGTGAGTGTGTGTGTGGGGGTGGGGCAGGGAGGGGCTGGGGTGCAGCCCTGGGGGGCCCTGCAGGCACCAACTCCCCCGCCCTCCATAGTCACCTTCTCCGACCCCATGGACATCGCCATCCTGCTGGACAGCTCGGCCAGCGTGGGCAGCCACAACTTTGACACCACCAAGCTGTTCGCGCAGCGCCTGGCCGAGCGCTTCCTGACGGCACGCAGCACCAGCCCGAACCCCGATGTGGCCATGCGCGTGGCTGTGGCGCAGTACAGCGGCTCCGGGCAGCAGCGACCAGGTCCCGGCGCCCTCCAGCTGCAGCAGAATCTCACGGTGCTGGCGAGTGCCATGGACCGCCTCCACTACCTCAACGATGCCACCGACGTGGTGGACGCCCTGGGCTTCGCCATCCGCTTCTTCCGCCGGGCCTCGGTCCAGAGTGCCCGGAAGCGGCTGCTGCTCTTCTCGGACGGCCACTCGCAGGGCGCCACGGAGGAGGCGCTGCGCAAGGCAGTGCAGGAGGCACTGGGTGCGGACGTGGAGCTGTTCGTGGTGGCCGTGGGCCCCCAGGTGAACGAGGCGCATGTGCGGGCCCTGGTCACCGGCAGGTCCGGCGTGTACGATGTAGCCTACGGCGAGCGCCACCTGTTCCGCGTGCCCAGCTACCAGGCCCTGATGCGTGGCGTCCTCTACCAGACTGTGTCCCGGAGGGTGGTTCTCGGCTAGAGGCCCCCATGGGGCCCGCTGAAGCCCCGACGACCCTGGGCCTGGGCACACTCGCCCAGCCTACCCCCACCTCACCCCAGAGTCCGAAGTGCCTCTCCGCTGGGCGTTCCCGCTGCCCAGGGCTCTGCATTTATGTCTCATTTGCTGCATGAGGCAGGGGTGTCTGGCGGAACAGGTCCTGCGTCAGCTCCCCCACACCCAAGAAAGGTGCTAAACACGGGGGAGGGCAGCCGCCGTTGCCCCAGGGGCCTCTCCCACGTGGCCACCCCAGCACCCCTGGTGTCTGGGGCCTTCACTCCTGATTTCTTCCCTGTCCGTATGTGTCACCCACATTTCCAAATAAAGGTTCCACCGTCCACTGTTCTCCCCCCATGCTGGTGCCCCTGTCCCCCCCCCATCCTGGAACGGAACATCCTGGAGGCCAGGATAGGGGAGCAGGAGGGGCTGCTGGCCACCAAGCCATCCCTCTGCTGGGTGCAGGTGGCGGGGGCGGGACGTGTGACAGGACCCAGTAGAATGAGAGTGCTCGAGGGAGTGAAGGTGTGGGGAAGGGAGTTGAGGGATGATGGGGTGAGTGCATGAAGGGATAGTAGTGAAGGAGTGAAGGTGGAGAGATGAGGAGTGGAGGGGTGTAGGGTAGAGGGGCGGAGTGGGGTGGTGGAGTGGAGAGGTGAGGGGTTCAGGGGAGGTAGATGTGGAGGAATGGAGTGAGGAGGGCTGGGGTGGAAGGAATGTAGGGTGAGGGTGGATAAATGAAGGGGTGAGGGGTAGAGGGCTAGATAAGGAGTGGAGAGATGGAGAGGTAAGAGATGGAGGGGACTTGGCGGTGAGTATGGAGGAATATAGAGGTGATGAATAAGGGGACATGGGAGATGAGGGATGAAGAAGTGAAAGATGGAGGGGTGAGGAGTAGAGTCGAAGGGGGAGGTGTGGAGAATAAAGAGATGAGGGGTGGAGGGGATGGAGGATAGAGGATCTCTGTGCAGGGGCTCTGGGAACAGCCCCTGCCTAGGACCTCTCACAGACACATGCTCTGCACACACCCTTCTCCCCACTTGGGGCTAAGGCAGCCTACGCCCCCAGACTCCCTCAGAACCACAGGGCCTGGTTCTTAATCCGCTGCCCCTCCCCCAGGGCCGCCTACCACCCTCCCTCCTCAGTCTGTAGTCCAGATCCTGAACTGCCCCTTTAAGGGGGAAGCAGCACTGACAGTGACTCAGGGCCCAGGAACGTGGTTGCAGTTCCCGGTCCACACCCAGGGGCTCCCAGGCAGGCCTAGGGTTGTGATGCGCAGGGGAACAGTCCCTGGGACTGTATAGGGCCCCTCCTCCAGGAAGGTGCCCCTGCTGGGACAGCCCCACCCACTCCCCAGGTAACCCCAGAAGCCCTCCCAGGAACACTGACCAGTACTGAGGCCAGGGACCCAAGGTTTGAGCGCCCCCAAGCCCACACAGGATGTATGGGGGGTCAGACTCTCCCTTTGGGGCATGCCTGTCCACCTGTATAGGCCATCAGATGCTGCCCTTCATCATCGGGGCCAGCCAAGTCTCAGGGACATGTCTGTGCCGCGGGGCCCCTCTTCCTTTTGTGACCACGTGGACATGGAGGTCACCCTCACGGTCACCCTCATGACCTCTGAGCACAGCTGAAGCTCAGGTCATCAAAACTGCAGCACTGAGCTCATCAAACCCAGGGCCCCCTAGCTGCCTCAACTCCTCAGCAGGCGCTTGGTGAAGAGTGGACGCAGGAGGAGAGTGGACGCAGGAAGAGAGTGAGTGCAGGACAGAGGGCTCAGGAGTAAAGTGGGCAAAGGAGTGGGCGCAGGACGAGAGTGGGTGCAGGAGGAGAGTGGATGCAGGAGGGTGGGTGCAGGAGGAGAGTGGGCACAGAATAGTGGACGCTGGAGGACAGTGGGTACAGGAGGAAAGTGAAGTGCAGGACAGAGGGCGCAGGAGTGGGCATAGGACGAGAGTGGGTGCAGGAGGAGGAGGTTAGGCCAGGTGAAACCCCGAGCCCTGAACTGTGTCCACAGGAGCTGCAGGATACGCTAGCACCTGCAGGACCTTTATGAGTAAAGGCACAGGCAAACTTCTAGAGAGCAGAGCTGTGCCACTATCACACATCAGAGTCACACCAGGAGAGGGACCTGTCCCCACCGCACCCAACCTCACCTGTCCTCACAGAGCATAGACCCCCTAAGGGAGCACCTCCTTCCCTCCACTGTCAGTCCCTGTTACAGTCCCTGTCACACTCCCTGCCATAATCCCTGTCACAGTCGCTGTCAGCCCCTGTCAGTCCCTGTCACAGCCCTGTCATAGAACCCGTTAGTCCCTGTCACAGTCCCTATCACAGTCCCTGCAAGACCCCCTGTCATAGTCCCTTTTCAGCCCCTGTCAGTCCCTGTCACGGTCTCTGTCATACCCTATAACAGTCCCTCTCAACCCCTGTCAGCCTTTGTTCACAGCTCCTGTCAGTTCCTGACACAGCCCTTTCATAGAACCTGTCAGTCCCTATCTGAACCTGTCATAGTCTTTGTCACAGCCACTGTCACAGCCCGTCAATTCCTGTCATAGCCCACCACAGCCCGTGTCATAGTGCCTATCAGTTCCTGTCATAGCCCCATCACAGAATCTGTCAGCCCCTATCATAGTTCCTGTCACAGCATCATCACAATCCCTGTCAGCCTCTGTCACTGCACCTGTCACAGCCGCTATCAGCTTCTGTCACAGCTCCTGTCACAGAATTTGTCATCCCCTGTCACAGCCTGTGTCACAGGCCCTATCAGCCCATCAGTCCCTGTCACAGTCCCTGTCAGCTCTTGTCACAGCTTTCAGTCCCTGTCACAGCTTCTGTCACAGTCCTTGTCAGCCCTGTCAGTTCCTTGTCATAGCCCCTGTCACAGCCCACCACAGCCTCTGTTGTTCCCCCAACTGGGTGCCCCTGTCCCAGCGCTGACTGGCAGGAGGCCTGTGGTCGGTGTACGGGAGTGACTCGAGGACCTGCACACAGGTGCTCCGTGTTCCCCGCTGGCTCCGTGTTCCTCACACCATGGCAGGGTGTGAGGGGAGTTCATACCAGGCCTTGTTTTCTCCCTCCTTGCTCCTTGCTGGCCTGCACTCACTGCTCCCACAAACTGAAGCTTGGTCAGGGCCCCCTTCCAGGGGCTGCTCCAGAGCACTGCTTCCTGTGGGGAGAGCAGGAAACAGGTCAGAGTGCGTGTGCCTAATATTGGGCTTTCCCTCGAATATTTATTTGCTTAAATCTGACACTGACAGTCACATGTTGGCCCAGTTCAAAGGTCAAAGGTTAAAAGCCATGGGAGGGACTTCACCACTGTTTCCTGCTCCGGCTCTTTCCCAGTCATGGACAGATGCGTGGGCTGCAGCTTGGCCTCACTCTGAGCGGTGGAGCTGGGCCAACAGGGTCTCTGTGTCTGCAGCAGCCAGGCTGGCAACAGCAACAGGAGAGATTTGGGGTTCCCACGTGGCGGAGAGACACCACAGGTGGCAGTTGCTCATGGCAACATGAAGGCCAGCTTCAAATGTGTGTCCACGCCACCAATGCCTCTTGTGAAAATGTCTACGTCTGTCTTTTCCCCATTTGAGATTCTGTTTTGGTCACACTTAAATTCTTGTATATGTGTGTGCGTGCGTGTGTGTGCATGTATATGTGTGTGTGCATGTATGTGTGTGTGTGTGTCTGTGTACGTGCACATTTGCACACGCATGCACTTAGGTCTTTTAGTCTGTTGTGCTGATTGGCTTATGCATCAGAACCACACTTTTTTTTTTTTTTCAGTTTCCAGGTTGCCTACCCACCAGAGCCAGTGGGACACAGCCAGCATTGCTACCAGGTGGAGCGGGGTAGCGAGCACTGCTAACAGCACCTCTGCTTTTGCACATCTCCCTGTCCCCAGAGCTACACTTATCACTATAGACACTTTCTGGCATTTTCAACATCTGCTAGCTCACCCCTGTCGTGGCTGATATTTTCCAGACTTTTCCTGACTCTTCTTGTTTATTTCTCATATTAGCTTTAGAACCAGGCCCTGAAGGAAAGGGGGGACTTTGATGCCTCTAGTTATGAATTCACTTTTGTCTTTGCAATGCTGAGTCTCCCTGTCCAAGAACATTCTGTTTTTTCATTGTCTGCCAGGGCTTTCAGGTTAAAGCTTCCTTCCTCCAAATTTCATTTATTTCTTGTCTGTCCCTATCTGTGGACTTTTTGCTCTTTGTCTGTGGTGTCTGCGAGGACCACTCTGGTCTCTGTGAAAGTGCTTGAACAGGAGGGCAGGCAATAGCCTTGCATGTGACTATTACCCTGGTTTGATCCCTGTCACCTGGTGATCCCTGAGCATAGCTGGGTGTCGTTCAAAATCAGTGCATCAATCAATCACTGTCATTGTCACTGTCCTCCTTTTGTTCATCAATTTGCTTGAGCAGGCCCAGTAACGTCTCCATTGTGAGAATTGTTGTTACTGTGTTTGGCATATCATATATGTCACGGGCAGCTTGCCAGGCTTTGCTGTGCGGGTGAGATACTCTTGGTAGCGTGCCAGGCTCTCCGAGAGGGGCGGAGGAATTGAACCTGGGTTGGTCGGGTCGGCCACATGCAAGGCTAACGCCCTACCTCTCCAGCCCATATATATTTATATATATAAAAGGTAAAGGTAAAGGCCCTCCCGTTGTTCATCGATTTGCTCGAGCGGGCCCAGTAACGTCTCCATTGGAGACTTTGTTGTTACTGTGTCTGGCATATCGAATACGTCACTCTCGGTAGCTTGCCGGGCTCTCCGAGAGGGGCGGAGGAATTGAACTCAGGTCGGCCATGTTGGCTGCGTGCAAGGCAAACGCCCTACCGCTGTGCTATATTATATATATATATGTGTGTGTGTGTGTGTGTGTGTAGCATCAATCAATATGTGACTGAACTCTGATTGGTCTAACGGTCACTCAGTGCATTCCCTGGGGCCACCCTAGCATCAATCTGTGTCACGGCTACTTTTCCTCTTCCTTCTGCTCCCATGTCTGTGTCCCATGCCTGGCCCCCGCCCGGGACCACCAGCAGGACGTTGAGCTGGGGCCCCGGCTGTGAGCCTGCTCACTAGGAAGCCTGTTTTGTCCACAGGAGACAGCATGTCTGGCGTTTTGGGAAATGATTGAGCTACCCCACCCCCCAGCCCTTCAGCCTGGTGCTTTAGGAACATGGATGGGGAGGGGCAACTGTGACTTTTCTCTGTGAATGTTTCTGTTTGGACATTCCATGTTTACGTCCTCGATTTTTAAGTGGTAGGAAATTATCTTTCCACCAGACTTTCGTGGGCTTGGGCCTAGAGTCACAGGGTCTCTTAAGATTT